CCTTAGGAGTCTCCGATGGAGTCATGCAGTGATTGTGGAAGGCCGCCAGATCTGTCGACCACAGTCATAGATGATCCTAAGAAATATGATGTCATGAATCTCAGATTGCCAGGCTTTCCTTGATACCCCGGCACATGCCAAATTGCTGCTTAGCAATCTTTGTACCTCAGCCTGGGTTGCTGTTAAGGAACTTGGATTGAGTAACCATAATGGGTATACTATAATGGTTAATCTGGTTTCCCAATGTAACTCAAGTTCCTTATACACAATGCCATAGAAGTCCAAGAGCCCCTACTCCAGCGGCCGGTTGGGTATCTTGCAGGAACTGACTGACCAACTGCAATCTCGCTTCGAGTACATGAGATCATTGGCGTTGTTCCGGAGAGGAGGCCGCCGTTCAAGAGCTGCTCCTGCAGGCTCACACTGGTGTCCAGTCAACCGATCCCCTTTCTGACTGAGCTGTGCAGCTGAAAATCAGGCACCTTCTGCGCTGCCCAGGACTGGGAGCCTGTGATAACGTGCCATCAGCTTTCGCATCCTCTCCTAGTTGTAGAACACAAGCACTGAGAATATGGCTCTGGGTAAATCATAATAAGATCCCCATTTACCCCACGCCAGCTGCCACCTCCTTTGGATGATGGCCGCGCCGTGAGGGAACCACGAGCGCCAGGAACCTAAGGATCAGCGGTCAATCTTGGGTGGCTGCTCAAGCCGGTCATCTTGTAAACGTACTTGCTGCCGACTCCAAACCAATCTGGTATGCAAACGGTTAAAGCTGAACCGTCAACTCAACTAAGGCAACTAAGGTGGAGTCGCCAGGATCGCGCGCTCCGCCAGACCTGATCCAAGATTACGAAGGCGCAGAATCGGCAGTGTTCAGATGCTGACAGTGGCACCTGCAATGCTACAGAATGCTGGCATGTGAAATGCTGTTCTGCGGTTTCTTCCTGGTCAGCCATCTTGAAACTAATGCGCCACATGCAGTGGGAACTCTTTGGGCCCATGCGAGCGTATTTGCCGCGCTGTCATTGACCCAGAGCCGCCTGGAAAGATTGGGTTGAAACGGACGGCTACAAATGCAAAGTGTGCCAATGCCTCTGGGGACGGCCAAAGTGAAACAGGCTTGCACGAAATGACAATACCTGCCTCCCCAGCTCCCTTTGCATCGTGCCTCCAGGATCTCGAGAGCTAGCGGCATGGGCTGCCTGGCAAAGGTTTGGAGTCAAACCCTTGTAACGGACTTCTGCAAGGCCTGCTCTTCGAGTTGCTGCTGCTGCTTTGACGGTGCCTGACAAAGCTTACTAAGAAACTGGGCACGTCAGTGGCCAGGCGCACTGAATTTCATTTTGCTCAGCTCTTGGTGGCGGACAAAGGGCTGTGGCAACTTGCCAACATGCAGCCTGTCGAGTCTGTTGATGCTTGGGGCAGTCCCTGGCTTTTTAGGCTCTCTGAGGCTAGTGCTGAGGAGCCCAGTTGGAGGTTGTGGAGCTTGCAGCAAGGCCCCCTCCTGCTGAAGACAAGCTTCCGGGACCTCCCTTCCCCGTCATGCACGAAAATCCTGCGCCCGCGTGTCCCACCGTCATGCTTGAGGAGAAGGTCGCCCCTGCAGCGCTGGAACTGCTTGACACAGCATGGAACCACTGGAAGCACGCTAAAATGACCGCCTACAGAAGTGACAGGCAACCGGTTTGTGCATGCGAGGCGCAGTCTGGAGCGATGGGGTCGGACATGCATGGCTGGTTTATGTGACAGTTCCAGCACGCTGCCAGCACATGCACTTGCTTGACTACAAGTTGCTTGCCAGCAAAGCTGGCAAAGATGCGGCCTAAGCGGTTGCCATGGGCACTTCGGGGCACCGGACCCTGCCAAGGCGAGTCTTTTTCACTCTTCGAGTTGCAAGGTGCGGCTTTGAAGCCGTTTCAGGTGCCCGCCTGATCTTCAGGCTTGCTAAAGTGGGAGGATGCGTGGAGGGGAGCAAGGCCTCCATTTCGGTTCCTGAGCTTGACTGCATATCACCAAACGGTCTTCAAATCGATGGGTCTTGGAGTTGCCCTTCTTTGCGCATGGGGACTGAGGTCCCCGCATCCGTGGGATTTCGCCTGTGTATGCTGGAAGTCTACCACTTTGGTGGTGAAACGAGTGGTTCCAAGATGTTCCAAGCGAGGGCTGGTACATTGTCGCTGCCTCCACGGGTACTGGGCTTCGAGGCAGCCCCGAGCCTGCAGAAGCTTGTCAGATTACGCAGTCACGCAAATGTTTAGGAGATTCCTTCAGATTCAGGGCATGGCCAGAATGGGAAAAGGGATAAGTGCGGTGCTCGCATATGCAGCTATTGCACTTTGCCGGACAGGTGCTGCTAAGGGTCAGGCGACGGGAGCGTGTCATTTTTTGACCAGTCCATGTCGCCTGCAGGCTCCATAAACCCCAAATCACACGAAAATCGCAGACACAATGCACATGTCACATGCTGGTCGCTTCCCCTTTCCCCCCAAATTAAAATCACCTGAAGAGTTGAATTCTTCCCATCAAAGTCAACTTGCACCTCATCAAAAGTTCCTGGATCTCAACCCCACTAATTCATTCAATTTTACACGAAGATGACTCATTTAGACGTAGTCTTGCCTTCCAAATATTTGGAGGCAATCTTCCAGAATTTTGGGCGTCAGCTGGGAGCATCTATAAATTTGTAAGCATTTAGTAGTGAGAGTTTTTTTAGGGAAGCAGTTACACAAGCGATATGAGTTTCATCTTCTGTTGAATGCTCATCTAGACAATCTTCGGCCCCATACCAAGCCGATCTAATCCCTGCAGCTGCGCCTGGGCACCCCGGTGTTTTCTGGCTTCTCTTCAGAGCCACCAGATCCAAGCAGGCGCAGCAGGGTCCACTGCAGCTGCTAGAACGACCCCATGCAATTAAATGAAACAAGTAAATTGCGATCTTTTGTTTAATTTTGGTGCAGCCTACAATGGAGAAACGTCGGCTTCAACTCCAGAAGCAAGAAGCTTCGAGCACCGTGTGGAGCAGTGCTGCTCGTGATTCTTTTTTGGCATGCTGACAGGCATCGTGTCATGCAAGGGGCTGCCCAGGCTCCTCCCTAAAGTTTCATCAACAAAAATGTTCAAAATGCCTGTCATGAATTTGTTCAAGGCATAGGGTTGTCATAGCTCTTGAGTCTGTGGGGGAAAGTTGTAGCATCATGGAAGAGCGAGTGCAAGGGGTCATTAGGCCGAAGCCGGAAAGATCCAGAACCTCGTAGCATCTTGCGGAGTTTTGACTGGAAGGGTTCCTCAGACCTTCCGGAACTAAAAAACAAATTTTGGGAAGCAGGAGGGCGCTTCTGGAGCCTTTTGGCATTCCCCGAAAGGCAAGAAGCATTCTGGATGTAAAGCCACTCTCAGTTGAGAGGCACGTAAGTTGAGCTTTGTAGTAGTGACTCTGAAACTATCTGACGACTCTGAAACTATGTGACCTGCCACGCCAAAGGACCCATCGCGGCCCTCTCAGCAAATTGCATTGCCTTGAAGAAGCCGTGCGCCATGTGTCGAATTTCAGGCATGCATATAAAACTACTTTCACTATGTGGACTCTTTTTGTTTAGTCTGCTGCGTAGTAACATTTGTTCAGCCGGCTCTGGAGCTGTCACGCTGTGAGGGTCAGCTTCACATCTCGCGAAGCGCGCTTAGCGACCTGGCAAAGGAAGAGAGTTGAAACAATATTCCATGAAAAACATGCCGGCGGGTTGCCCAGTCCTACAGCAAATGGAACATGAACAAAGACTGTGATATTTCCAAGCACAACCGTATGGGCAACTGCGCTACCCTTCACAGTCACACAATCCGCAATGTGCCTTGAGCAACTCGAATGCCTCCTTGCTGCTTGGACGATCCTTGTAGTGGAAGCTGAGGCAACTGCAGCACAGAGGCATGCCCTCATGCAGCTGCAACATTAGACCACGCAGTGCTGTCTTGAACACGAGAACATGTGCAGGCAAATCGAACTGGCCATGTATACGAGCAGAAGCTTCCGGAAGCTGTCTGAAGGGATGCAGCATGATGCAAGGCTTTGGTGGCTGTTGCCGGGTCATAATATTCTGCTCAAATCCTCCTTATCAAGCGGATCTCCAGCCTGCTGCAGATATCTCGCATCATGCCGAGAATGAAGTCGGGAATGTCAGGGGTCCGCCTACAAGGCGGCTGAAGTTGCATTTTCCAATTTCCTGGCTCACTTGAAGTGCACTTGATTTCGGTCAGGCTCAAACTCACCCTACTCTCTCCCACTCACAGTCGAGCCCTGCGGCCCTTGACCGCAGCCACGACTTCTTGCACAAACAGACTTTGCCGTGCCTGGCGATTAGCATCTCTTTGGTAAGGTCAGCCAGGGTCGTGATGGACTCATATGGCAGAGGCCCGCCATTGATCTGCGTGATGCAGCTGGATAAGTGTGTGTCTGCTACACAAGCTCTAGCAGCCAGATTTTCATGGCACTCAGAAGCGTTCCATCCTGTTTCCGCGACGTGTTTGCCATGACTCCCTTTTTGCGTGAAGTCGGCCTCCACAAAGATACAGCCCATGGCCCAGACCTTGCACACCGGTAGGGTCAGGCAAGTCAACACCTTGCTCACAGGGCTAGGAATCGGACGTCGATCTTTTCAGTGATCTTCGTCTGGCTGTCAAAGAGCTCAGGTGCCATATACCTATTGCTCTCAACAGTTGCTAGAGTGCAAGAATTGCATGCCATCACACTGGTTAGTCTAAATTCCTTGCAAACGAGCTGCCTTGGGGAGCCACCATTGTTCTTCTTGGTGATATGCGTGCGACTGGCAGGGTCTCACAAGGAATCAAATGTGTCGCCCGCTAAAGCAAGTCCAATTCAAGCCTCAAGCACCAAGCCCGATAACTATTGCTGCGTGCTATTCATCATCTTCATCTTCAAGCCAAATAGACTTGAGCCCTCTGTCCTGTGCCTGCATCAAAGGCTGAGACTCAGGCTCCATGGATTCTGTCAGCCCGAAATCGCAGATCTGCGCAAGCCACTGAGAGATAGCAAGGTTTGACTTGTCAAGCATTATCCCTGCAGGTCTCGAACCTTAAGGCCTTAAGGTTTCTATGTAGGAATCCGGCCGGTTATTCATGATCCATTTTCTTCAGATCCCGTGGTTTGTTTCGTGGCTTCAGCGAGCGTCTCTTTGCTTCAGTTCTTTGTTCTTGCTCGCACTGTCGCACGCTCTGCGGCTTGCCTGAACGGCGTGCCACATGTGCACAGATGTGACAGTGCTGCGAGCACAAGCTTAAAGACGTGCTGGACCGTCTGGGTGACCTCTCCGAACAATCTGCCATTTGGGAGAGCTGGCGTAGATTGTTGTTGATTCAGGGCTCGCACCACGCCCCATCGACGTTTAGATGCCATACCAGGAGCGCCCGAGTGTGCCAGCAACAAGGAGATAATGTATGTTCCTGATATCCAACATTGGCAGCAACATGGAACACCTGGTTTGGAAATCCTGATGTCTGCATGCTACCGCCTCCTAATGTGACTATGGGCTTCCATGGTGGTGGCGGGCCGCTTGAAAGTTGACACGCGCTCCATCACCAGGCTATGGCCAGTGCCTCCGCCTACGCTTTGCGCTCTCTGCAAGCCCGTCACGTCGTTGCTCCGCGCTTCCCTCGCTGTGACTTCTAGCAACTACGAGTACAAGTGCTGCACACACACACACACCTTACACATCCTGACACGCTGCTCCCTCTGTGCGAAGGTTTTTTCAGGGGATGTGCGGTGCGCAATGCTCATACGCCATAAGTTCTTGCAGATTGAAGATCCAAAGGGATGTTGCAAAGACGTTTCTGAGAAACACCGCCCTCTTGACACTTCTTTTTTCTGAAGCCCTTCCTCATGCAGAGCGCTAGGATGCCCTCACAGACCAGCAGAACATTGAATCATATCTAGATGATGTTGATAAGGCGGACCGATGCGGTTATGCAGTAGCCAGCTCTTTGCCAGATTGGCAGTGTTCTCAAAGCTGCCAGTCTGGCAGTCATAACTGTCATAGCTAGCACTGGAATAGCAAGCAGTCCAAGTTGGGATTCTCTTAGCTTTTGTGTGCAAGTTGCGTAGAGGCAAGAGACCTTGTGCAGGTGAGAATGTTGGAGCGGAGAAAGTAATGCTGATGCCGCAAGTCCCGATGTAGAGTGCAGAGTTCTGCGCTAGTGAATTCACAGCAGCTTTGCCGTACTCAAACTTTGAACTGTGGCATAGGGTGCTTTGTTGTTGCTTGCTGCCTTGGCACTTGAATTTAAGCGTGTGCCGACGTGTCCGTGCGAAAGGCACGCAAGGCCTAGGGCTTGGGGAGCAACAGCCCCCGTCTCAAGCTTTTGCTGGCACATTCCAGATTGACCCTGTTGCTTCAGCTGCCGCTCCTTTTCACAGTTCGCACGGTGTCCTGGAAAGTCCAGCAGCCTGATAGACTCGACCACATCACCAAAGTACCTTGGATAACCTGACAGCCTGCCACTTGCTCACCTTCTGGTGGAGCCTGCCCATGCTGCTCTCACGTAAAAGTTGTGCGAGGTTGGAGCTCTCCCAACTTGCTCACCCACATGTGAGCTTCGACGAAAACCTACAGATCAACACGTTATCAAATTGTTTTACTCTTATCGGTTTTCCCTCAAATAACATACAGTGTTACAAATTGCAACGTCATCGTTGTACTTACTCTTATCGTTTTCCCATAAGTCTCTGCACACGCCGAGAATTCTGGAAGTTCTATATAAGCCGTACTCAGAGACCCGGGCTTTTGTCCCAGCTCATGTCTGAAATGCCAGCGCACGATGTGAATTCCAAGCTTCATGGTGACATCAAGACAACCAGTAACTCCCAAGCATGCGACGATGATTCAAACAACTCATCTGTGACGTGTGCTGACTGCATGGAAGCCTGAATAGAGCAGAATGCATCAGTACCAGTAGCAAACAAGGAAACCGTTTCTTGACTCTGCACCGTCGCCGTTTCTGACACAGTGTCTGACAGGGTCTGATGCATTCTCAAACATTACTTAGTTGTATTCCGTGCTGCGCATGCTGGGTAAGGAGCATGCTTCTTCCCAGGCAGCAGGAATCTAGGCATCGGCAAAACAAAGTCCGGATTGAAACACAATTACAAAGGTCCAGAGTTCAACATCGAACAAGCACCGTCCTACACCTATCGCGTTTGTAACCTGGCCCCCGACATCCTTTACAAAATGGCTGGAGCTTTGTCCCAAACAGGATATACAACACCGAACGGGCTTGGGATCGAACTCTGTGAAATCGAAATGTCCCTGCACCAGGAACTTTGTTCGTGGCACTCAGGAATTCTTCGGAGAAGGATGGAAGCCTGAAAAAGTATGCTGGTAGACACTTGCCAAAGGGCAATCAGAAGAGTCAGCACCGCGTTGAAGAGAGCAACATGTGCGACCTTCCTGGCTGCCTCTGCACATCAGTCGCAAAGGCTGGGTTTTGGAAGCAGGCTCGGCCCAGGAAAACAAAGACGCAATCAGGTACCGAAAAGCTTGAAGAGAATGGAGCCGGCACCGTAACTACATCTTGTTCAGATAGTGCCTTTTGCCCAATTCACATCAAGCCAGGCCGGGACTCGATCAACTGACAAGGCTGCCTTGGAGAAAACTCCATGGCAAACGGATTGCGCATACTTTGTGGGCGAATCTATCTACCAACCGCGAGGACCACGCTTTCATCAGGCAATTCTGGCATGTGGGTGTGGCAGGCTAGAGGCGATGCAAGCGCAAGCTCCTCGTCAACACGACAGAAGGATGTGCTCTATCAGCATTGGAAGCGGCCACAAGCTTTCAAATCAAACATTCCCCAAACGGTAGTGTGCTGAGACCTCTGAAACGGCCTGGGTCGAAATGAAAACAGAGGCGGTTGCCATCACCTGCTGGAAGCAACTGTGGAGATCCCGCAAGTCTGCAGGGAAAGTGCCGGACATGAGCACTCAGGCGGCGAGGGAAGTATTCAACACTCCTGATGTGACGCACTATGCTCAACAATCCAATCTCCTTGGCCCAACTTAGAAGAGTTCTCAGCACACTTGCATCATCTCGCAGGCTCAGAGTGCCGATCGGGCATGCGTCCTTGACTGCAGAGTTGGTCACTGACACTTCCAGCTTACGCATGTGCGTGCCGTATCGTACCGTGAAGCTTGCGTTGTGAGTTCTAGGAGCTGTGGAGCAGATTTTTGCGGTGTTTGGAAAGCTGAATGAACTTATGCAAGCGCCGGCGGGCAGCTGTCTCAGACCTTGTCTGTGTATTGTTTCTCGTTGAAAGGTCACTATAGCAGAGTGTAAGATCCAATAAAGTGGGACGCGGCAGTGCAAGGTCACTGTCGCATGTTTCCAGCCTCTTCCTTTTTGAAGTGGCTAACGACACCCAACAACATGCTGCTAGGAAGATCACAGCATTTCTTTGTGAAAGTAGCATGTCTGGTGACAAAGCTCATAGAGCGCGTGGCAAGTGACAGCCTGCAAGACAAATTGCATTCAAGTGTCATTTGGTCTTTTGGCAAAGCGCTCTTCTCTTCCTTGGAACCCTCCACGCCATTCCTCAGCCAAGAAGAGATGGGTGTGGCTTGGAAGTGACACCTTGTAAGTGTTTGTGAGTCATTCAGCGCAGTACAAGGTTACTTACTTGTTTTGAAGGGACAAGGCAATTCCAGGCACCAACCAGATTCACTTGAGATTCAGGACGCTGCTGGCATTGCGCGTTTGGCAAATTCTAGCGCCAAGATTCAACGACAGAACATTCCGATAAGCAGCAATCTCCTGTCAAGGGCTGGCATGGCAATGCTGCCAGTCTGTTTGGATGCGTGAGCTACTACTACTGAATTCTCTAGCAGAGATTCTTTCAGCAAGCATGATCATGTGTAGCATGGAGGTTTGAAGCTTAGGCGGACAGATGCCTTGAGCCTTTGGAAACACCTTGAGTTACACCTCGACAGCTCCTCCCGCGACATGCGGCGCAGCTGCACAGCACGCTTCAGCTTGGCCGGGTCCTCTGTGAGCTCACCTCGCGAGGACCCCTTCCCGACATGTTAGCACCCGGGAGGCTAATTCGGACCATCGCTATTGCGAAGGTTGATCAAGGCTCGTACAGCAACCCAGCTAAGGCGCTTAGCGAAGATTTCATCTTTCTTGCCAGGTGCTGGTCAGCCGTCCTGGATGCAAAGATCTGGTGATGTACAGGCCCGTGTCCATGTTGTGCAAGGAAACCCTGTCTGAGAACATCAAAATATCACAAGCACCCTTGCGCTACGAATTGCCAATAATAGGCTCAAGATTACTTGAGAGCATAGGCCGACATCCTGTTGTGATGCAGGGCCTCAGTTTTCATTGCTGGAGTTTGGTAGTACCGATGCGAGGACGCAGTAACTCTATGCTGCAAGACTAGAAACCAATTTGCAGTCCTGTTCACTGGCACTGCATGCCCCTCTTTCATGGCCTTCAAGTCTTGTGCATCCACCTGTCAGGTGCAATTAGGTTTTAGGAATGCTTTGCAGACGAATCTCCTTCGTCCAGTGTGCCCAGACTAGCCCAGCCATGCGATGCCATACTATTCACTGCCTCATGTCGCCAGGAGTTGTAGTCCTGTTCGACCGAAGGCTCGTCGCACTCAACCATCGTATCTCAGTCCACAGCTGCTCAAAGCAGGCTCACTGCCCTAATCTGCACCTGGATTGCAAATCCTTATCTTTGCAGCACGCCACCCAACAGCTTTTTCTCAGAGCTTCTGAAGCCAGGGCGCTGTCTCCGACTTGAAGCACGCACCTGCAGGAACATCTGCCAGTAGCTTGACCTCTCTTGCAACAGAAGCTTCGCAATGAGGCACCTCCTCAAGTCCTCCAGCTTGTCCACTCCACTGTTGGACCGCGAAGGGGCTTCAGTCATCTTGCGTGGAGCCTGGGAGCATAGGCCACGGGGGGCGGTGTGACGTTTCCATCATGGCAACTTCTAGAATTTCCAAATATAGAGTGACAAGTTTTGTTTGCGCAGGGTCAGAAGCCCGGGTCTGGAAAAGTCTGTTCCGATGGTGATCCAGGCCTCTCGGAGCTTTGCATTTCGCATCAGCACCTGCGGCGTCTCTGCGAGGCTTTCCACTGTACTCAAACTGTGTGAAAGATCCGTAAGGGAGTGGAACCAGCTTGGACCTCACTTGCTGTTTTCTGTGCGCAAGGCCTCCTTGGTGGGGAAGGCATGCGCATGTGGCACCGGTTGAGCCTGTGCAGAAGGGTCGCAAGCGTTTTCAGAACGATCTTTCGAGAATTTCACCAGCTCAGCAGCCTCAGCTACTGTCGAAGTCCTTGGTCAACTGGCAGTGGATGGACAGGTATTTTAAACATTGATTCTGTAGCGGCTTGCAACCAGGCTGCTGAGCGCAGCCCATCTTGAACTGTTACAGCTGCCTATCTCAGCCAAGATTTGTTGTCTGCAGTAGCTTGCTTCAATTTGCAACATGCAAGTTGAATCCATGTGCACGTCTTCCAACGAGCTCTCTCTCACCGCATTATGTCTCGCCTTCGTGGTCAACAGGCCGGGGCAAACGGGCACGGGCACTAAGCTACTGCTAAAGCATTCCACACCATCTTTTGATCCATAACGCAGCGCAGGGACTCACAATCAAGCGCGAGAGTTGTCGCAGTGATTCCTGGCACTCATTCATCATGTTGGCTGGCTTGCTGACAAACAAAAGGACGGGATGGACAAGCATTCTCTTCTACACTGCTGTCCAGTGCCCCGCACAAATTTCCATATTGCATTCCGGCCTTGATGTTGAGACTCAGATCCAAGACCACATTGAGGGACTTCAGATCGCGGTGCACGATGGTTGGGTTCTGACTGTGCAAGTACCTCGCTTTTTTTGTGGCCATCAATTTAAACGGAAGGGATGTATGCAGGGGCTTCGGTAGCTTAAGATATGAGATGGAGCGATCCGATCGATGCCAGCGAGCAAAACAGCAATAGCCTTGGCAGCAAGAAAACACCACTGCAGCCTGCAATAACAAAAACAAGTGCAAAAGCCTGGAGACTCCCGCGAATACGTTCATGCTACCATCCCGTATCTGGCCCCAACACATCGGGAATTTTGGAGGGCACGAAACGCCGTCTGCAATCCTTAGCTTCCCGAAGTATAATTTAAAAGTGCACATCAGATTTTTTGTCCTTGAACAGGCAGGATGAGAATGCAGCCGGGCTTCTGGATGCACATGTTCATGGCATGGCTTGATGGCAGCTTTTGCCTTTGCACCGATCTCGGACAAAGTGACAACCAACGGCTGGACTCAATCACCATGGCCCTCGCCGACGCACGTGCAGGAGGTGGTGCAAGGACCCTCCCGGCATGTACCTGGTCAGCAAGGCGGGGCGCTAAAGAAACCCAGCAATCAGGTTCTCAGATGCTATGGCCATTCTGTGCAGCCAAGATGCTCAGTAACTAGGCAAAGGTTGGGGAGCTCCAGGCATGCCCCCATGAAGCGAACCTGAAATCAAGCACTGACTCAGCTGTGCCAGTCTGAGAAGCAATCCACAGGATTCCAAGCTGCCCGGCTAGGCGCTTATGGCTTAGATGACGAAATGAGTCGATCTCTCTTGCAAGGTCCTGCCACGTGCAGCCATAAGCAACAATCGCACTTTCCGAACTGATCCGAACTGGTAGCGCAAATGCTGTAAAGGCAGCAAGGCGGGTCCTGTACCACCAGCTCTGTCATGTTCTCATCAAAAAACAATTGCTTGATGGCCACCTGTTGCTCTGAGAGCGGATGCAGAAGTGCTGATGACAGAATCGGCATCTATAACGCCTCTTTGTTGAGGTATAAGCCGCGGAACACCTGTCCGTGCTTGTGCTTTCACGAGTTTTGCACATGGGGTCCGCCCATGACAGCAAGCAGCCTGAGTCTCATTACAAAGCCATGCTTTGCTTACCAAATGATCTCATATTGGCATATTGGCTTGTTGGCTTCTGGAGGCTAGGTCCCAGTCTTTCGACAAATCTCTTTGATCCAGCCTCACCAAACTCCCCCTTGCCAAGCCGCTCGACGAAGGTCAACTCACTATACTGAACCTGGCACCAAATGACTTCTGTTCCAAATATCCTAGACAACATTGCCAGAACTTCAGACCCATGTGCGCCTTCTCTGGGTCTGTCAGGTCCCTGCTCGAAGAGAGGCAACAAAAGCTGCTTGACTCAATTAGGTCATGATGTCATGAGACCAACTACCCTTTTCACGACACAGGAACTGGGTAAACAAAGGCAGGACAAGTTTCCGCCATCAGCCTCTCCAGCGCCTCACGCGGTGTCGAGAAGCCGAACCTAATACAAAGATACAGAAAGAAGCAAAAAGGGATGTGAGCGTCAACCAATGCAAGATGTCATTGCGACATGATCATACCTGCCAGTGCGTTGAACGGATGCGTTGCAAGCAGTGTCTAGACAACTCTGCCAAGAATGCCCGCTCGCCCTGCCAGGAAAACTCTCGGCCACCCAGGGGCATTGATAATGTACTCACAGTGGCTATTGAGCCATTCGACCCAAAAGATATCATGATATCACATGATATCATTGCGCAGCGCATGGGATAAAATCAGCCTCTGAGGGATCCAAGGGCAGCTGCTTTGTCGGGACTGGAGCCGGAGCCTCTACCTGCAAGTAAAAGCTCAGTGTTTTGACTTCCTGCCACCGCTGAGGATTGGCAAACAACATTGGGTGAGCTCTCGACCGTGGTCACCTACACAAGTTTCTGCCATGCCAAAGCACAGAATTTCTGCAGAATGCCCCATTTGTTAGGTCAGCCTTTGGAAGATATTGGACAGGGTTGCTCCCTACATTATGACATGTAAAACGGGCAATCTCCAAGGAAGAGTCCACAGCATTCTGCAATTTGGTAGGGAAGTCACTGACAGAACTCTCCACCCGAGAAAGCCAGGACTTTGGCCTTGATCGGGGCTTTTGCCATCAGGGGCCTTAGTTCTGGGAGCCAGCGGAACATAGCGGAGCTTTGCAGCTGTGCAGCTCTGCTGGGTGAAGCTCCCATCACTCTTAGCATCTCTTAGCCTCTCAACAAACTTCTCGACAAACTTTCCTGCGCACAGCGCAAACCTTCTAAGGTCACCGCTTCCGCGCCCTCCAGTTTTCAGACTGGCCCCGCTTGCAGGCCTGCAGGGAATGGATTCCTCTCTAAAGCTGCCATCGTAATTGGCTTCATGCCGCAACACGCGAAAGTCTTGCTCTCAAGTTTGGCAGCGCCTGCCACGCCCGCCGTACGGGACTCGCAAAGCGTACGCCCTCAGCCACTGTTGACCCAAAGCGGTCGTATCTTGGATGCCTACACAACCACAACTGTATGCGTCCAATGAACTCGCGAGTCTTTTCTGTATCCTTTCCACTTATCATCATTGCGCCTAGCCACTGTAACTCTTACAAAAAGCGAGCGGGATGTCGACAAATCTGAGAGCACTGCCGTCTCTCCTGAGGAAGGTACAACTCATGAACTGCTGTCGTCTGCAATCTTTGCAGGAAAGCTCGTGGCACTGTGGTAAGCACAGGGATGCACAAGCACTGCAAGATAGCTTATACCCTAGGCCGCGTTCAACAAAGAGTTTTACTGCTCTCGCCTGATGATGACGGGAGCGGCATTTGCGGAGACCCTGTCGCGGCAAGGCTTCATATCTGACAGCAGCTAAGCATAAGGTTTTCGGAGCATCAGCTTATGCATCTTTTTTGGTGGGTTCCGACTCCAGGTGACTACATGACTACGCGCGACGTCTACGCTTGATGGGCTCAGCTCCTCGGACCGGCTCTTTGAATGCACTCTTTGGATTCATCCTTCAAGCTCCTCCTCCCTGATCTCGATGTCCTTCTTCAAGATCTCTTCGTCAGAGCCGTGTAACTCATTGTACACTTCCAAGGTGATGTGGTCCTTCTTCATGCTTTTGCAAATCTCGGCGCTCTCACCATGGACCAAAGCCTCTCCCTGCGAATCAATCCGCTTTCGGGCTTCGAACTCCAAGTCCTCAGAAGAACTTTGTGAGCGCAGGATCAGGCGCGCTTCTTCTCTGAAGGAATCTGCTTCAGCCTGGTTCAAGCTGCATTTTCCGGGATCCATGTGGCCCAGGCGCTGGTGATTTTCTTGCATGAAGCTTTCAAGGTCTGTCTTCGGGCTTTCAAAGTGGGATCTGCTTTCAAGCAGGCCTGACTCCATGCACTGCCCCCCGGTGAATTTTGCAGCTACTGCTCTTGTGTCTTCTCCAGACATTCTCACTGGCACCGCTATCTTGGTCGCAGGGTCCACAAGCACAAAGGCACCGTCATTCGCCATGCCAGGTTGTGAGAACATTTCTCTGCCAAAGTTTGGCGCTTGAGCAGGCATGCGTCCTTCGACACAAAAGAGACCCACGTAGTCTGCAGCAGAGAAAACAGTCGCCACAATGTACCCGTGCGATTCTATCTGGGTGTAGCCTTCTTTGACAACTTCGTGGCCACGGAAGAGGGAATTCAGGCCATTGGATGCCAAAAAAGTTCTTGCCTTGTCCTGCCCGAACTTGTAGACTTCTCCACCCCTGTGCGAGTGGATGAAGCCGTCCCCTTCGTGAGGATCAGCCCAAGCTGTAGAGCGCCCGATCGACTTGTCAAGACATTGACCAAAGTTGCCATTCTTGCTTGTGCAGCTCTTGTAGAATTCTGGGCTGATGCCACCATGCATGGCCATGAAGAAGCCAGGCACGACGGCAACGTAGGGCAAGTATTCCACCACAGATTCGATTTCAGCAGTGCCCACGCCGGACAACTTATACTTGAGCTCGTCGAGGAATCCGTAGTATTCCCAGGCCCAGGACTCCTCGTGGTTGCCTTGCAGAAGCGTCACCCCTTGGGGGCACCGTGCCTCGAGGGGTTGAAGGAAGCAGTATAGACATGCAACTTGAGGAAAATGCCTTGAACCTTCTCACATCACGAGGAAGTGAGCACTATGTGGAGGCGGGATCTGCCAGATTGGAGATGGGTTTGGATTTTGGAGTACAATGCCCGTGAAATCTGCATCTTAAACGCCCAGATGGAACTCGCCTTAATCGGATCCGTAGCCGTGGCTTTGTTATTGAACTTTGGTGTTAGGCTTCTGTAATTCTGTTGGAAAGTCCTTTGACATGTCCTTCTTTCAGCATGTGCTCTCCCTATGCTGCAACTGCTCTGTGTTAACTGCTGTGCAACGCTGGCCTTGTAGGCGAGGAGAAGAAGCAGCAGTTCAACTCCTCTTTCACCGCGGTCCACATAATCGCCCATGAAAAGATAGTGCATGCGTGGATCACAGTAGAGCAACGATGAGCCGTCGAGAATGCTGAGATCTTCGCCCTCGTATTTCTCCTTTATGGTGACAAGGTAAGCGATGAGGTTGAAGAGCTGTCCGTGAAGATCCCCAATGATTGCGATGGTTTGATTTGTTTGACTCAAGATCTGTCGGCTGTAGCCATGCCCTGGGGAATTTTCGAATTCCGGATGGATGACCTCTGCTTTTACTTGCTGCAGAAAGCTGATCACCGTGCGCTTGTTCATCAATGGCAGGTCTCCATACCGATTTGTCTGTAATGTGAGGGCTTTGTTCTCAAGTTGATCCACGAAGTCCATCGCGGCATCTTGCAACCTAACTTGCTTCAGCTGACACTCTGGCTGTACATCAGCCCCAGGCTTACGTAAGACCTCGACTTCTGCAGGCTCCTGGGAGTGAAGGACAGTGCACCTCTCCTGACACTTGTAACCTTCGCCCAGCAGAAACAGAGACTTGTCCAGCTGGCAATCTTGGAAGTGCCATGGGCCGTTTCCATCAGCTCTGAGCTCATATGATTCGTTGCTGCACCTGGCAAGGCAACATCTGTCTTCACAGATACCCTCAGTAGGCTTCATCTGGCAAACCTGTGGTCCCTTCCCGCTTCTCCGTTTGACTTTGACTTCGCGGGAAACCTCCTGGTAGACGATCGAACACGTCTCCTGGCAATGGCTGTTGACACGACTCACAATAGTCCGATTGGAGAACTCCTTCTTTTAACTACGTGGTCAAGGGTCAAGGTCGTTTGTTTGTTACCACTTGAGACCTCAAAGTTGTTTCATGCCCAATACCACTCACCACCTGAAATCGCCCGAGCCCTACGGTTGCCAGATGTTTCAAACACGAGAGCCGAGAGCTAAGAGCAGACTTACACTTCGTGGGGCGGGGCGTCCGCCTCGCTTGGGAATGGGCTTGCTGGCCACGGTCAGGATACGGTAGGGATACTGTCGGGTTTAAAGGTTTCCCCAGGATACACATACCCAATGAGAAAACTCATCTTGGGGAACAGCCCCAGGAAGATGGTTCCACCATGGGTTTCCTGAGCCTACGCTTATTCCCTGAGGTGAGTCTCCTGGCAATGTCGGCTACCATCGTCATCGTACTCTGGCTTGTTGTAGTTGACCTGGCAGTCCTGGAATGTAACCGAAGTTCCCAATTCTCCTTTGAGTTCGTAGGTCTGGTCGGTGCACTTGGCAACGCGACAGTGGTCGAAAATTCGGTTATTCTCTCGCCGGTTATTCTCCCGCAGGGCATCTGCAACTCTCAGGACCTGCAAGATGAACACCGCCCAGGCGACCGATGCGACCGCCAATGCCATGACTTCACCGTCAGCACCGTTACACACAAGTGGATTTCTCAGCAAAAGGAAGGCAGGTTCTGGACCGGCATTGCTTTCGTCAGGTGTTTGAGCTGCAGAATGCAGATCCGTCAGTTCAGTGACAATTCAAGGTCCATTTTCTCTTCCATTATCCCTATATACCCCTACAATATCCCAATATATCCCTATAATATCCCCATATACCCCTATAAACCCCCATATACCCCTATGATATACATTATCTGCTGCACCAGCATGTGAGGGCGCTGTAGGCGCGAGATCGCGGCACCAAGAAACCACCAACATGTGACCTCCATATAACCCCTTATAATCCGTATATATTCCCTATAACCTCCATATACCCCGTTTATAACCCATATAACCCCTGTATGACCTATATAACCATAAACTCTATGAGAAGATGCAATGGCTCGTCACAACTGGCAAGCTCCAAGTTGACGCCGCCAAAAAAAAAGGAACTGGAAATGGATCTTGATGGGCAGACGCACTTTCTGCAGAGAGATGTCATGTGAGTTACAGGGGAACTGCGAAGTTTCAGAAGCAATCATTAGAGGGACTGAGTCGATCAAATATGTGCAGATCTGTAAAGAGCTTGGAAGCCAAGCAAAATGTCAGAACTACGGGTATACAGACATGAGAAACAGGACGAGGAGAGAGCTCTGTATTCATGACGCCATCCATCCCACGGAGACGACGGGAATCTGTTGAACGCCTACATGGGGCTAATGGCTTCTAAAGCTGGCCGCCTCTGAAACGATTGCTCAATTTCATGCGGGCTGTGCCATATTTCGGCTGATCTACGCCCTACGCAGAAGCAACTGAAGGTAATGGTTCCACAGCCCGAGCCTGGCATCTTGGAGCTGTGTTTGCGGGGTGGACTCCGCTCCTACAACATGAGCATATCTCACCATTATTGCTGCGTTTCAGCTGTCATGGCTTAAACTTAGCATACCTGGATTCGCTTTGAACCTCTCAATAAACAGCTGGGCCTTCCGTTTGAGTGTGTATTCGAGCCTGAAGCCGTCTTCAAATTTGCACAGGTTTGCTTACTGCAGGTGCTGTTACAACCAGCCGGTCCTCTGGCTTGACATGCGGGAACTGCATCCCCTGTGCAGCTAATGAATTCTGCCTCGAGACCTGCGAATCGCAACATGTTCATCTCCTCTGGCTTATTGCTCTTGTAGGGTGGCTTCCTTCTCAGTCTTCTTATGCCAAAGACAAAAGTAGCGTGATTCCTTGTTCGGAATCTCCCTTTGCTAGACATCCTCAGTCGTACCTCGCCAGGAGAAGCTCCGAAGCTTCCGCGGGCGGGGGGGCCTGGCATTTCAACCTTTGTACTGAAATCTAGGTGTGCACACTCAGCGAGTTGAGAGTCAGCAGACCTGCGCCTGAAAAGCCTTTTCATTGTCACTTTACCTCTCGACTGACAAGGCAGTTCTGCGAAAGAGTGAGCTGATTCTCTAAGGGTGAGTCTCGGAGGTTGGACAAACCAAACAACGATCATGCTGAATCCAGGTATGTGGAGAATAAGGAGGACTCGCAGCTGTTGGAACTTGCCCGCCTTGGAGGCTGTCCTGGCAAGGTCAGAACGTAGACAACGCGCAGATGCTGGGTTATGATACAGCTGTGACTAGTCTGCCTCACTCCCTCATGATGAGCGAAGAATTCACTTGAAGTCTGCCCGCCTGCCGCATCAGTCGCGCCACGGCAGGGGTGCGCGGGTCCTGCTGAGCTTTTTTGAGGTAAATCTGCGCTGCAACCTGTTTAAGAGCTGGCACCAAGATGACTCTGATGAAGACATTGTCCGACTAAACCCTTCTCTCTTGGTTTATTTTCCTGTTCTCTTCCTCCTCTTCTACTTCTTTTTCTTCTTCTTCTTCCTTTGATGCTTCCTTGTTGATGACCTCATCGTAGGGGTGCCCTAAGCGGATGAGGGCCTGACAGGCTTTGAGCACAGCAAATCACATGACGGCAGAACAGTTCTCGCCCACAACATGAAACAATGAGTTTTCGAGTTAGCCGTATGTGGCTTCATGTGGGAAGATCGCGGAAGCCAGAAGCCCGTATCAGAGGCATCTTCTGTGTAGCAAGCATGCCAATATATGCCAATCATGCCAGCATGCTGAAAAACTCGCAAAGGAAGTGAATTCCAGCAGTGGCCACAGGATGCGCAAGCCCCAAAATTATCAAACACGGACCTGCTCGCGGCAGCCCCGACGATAAAGCCTGGCTCGCTTACGAAGTTCAAGGCTATGAGTAGCACGCGTTACGATCGTCAGGAGCTTACAGACAAGGATCGCAAAGCCTGAACATTTACAGATAAACAAGCCCTGCTCCACAAGTAGTATCTGCGATCTGTGGCGTTGAAAACCGCACAGGCATCCTGCATCAAAACTCAGCAGCTCTAACATGCACAAGGCACATGAAACGCTAAGGGAAAGGCTGTCAACCCACGTTGCTTGCACTGCTACCCTCTGGCTTCATGCGTGCCGTTCGAGCTCCTCAGGGCACCAGACAAGCCTACGATTGAGGCTGTCCACCGCATCCTCGATGCTGGTAACTGTTTGCCTCACTGTGGCAGCTTATCAAGAACCAGAAGCTCCGTGCCCTCAAAACGCTTTGCCCAAATCTTTCGGATGACCGGCTTGCATCCTAATGTTTCCAGGGCTCTCGTACTGTTCATGCTGCTATACCATCTGATAGCACCTGTCAAGGAGTCGCAGCCGCCCCTGGAAGAGAACCTGACATCCAAGTCATGCGGCCTTTCAGGCAATTGAGTCCCTACCCGTCTTCTGCTGCCTCGTCTCCTTCTGGACAAAGCAGTATTGCGGACCTGGTGGATGCAGGCAGCTCTTCTGTGCGTACACACGGCTGAATCCAGCCGCAGGTGCAGTCAGCCAAGGCAAGATGACAATTACCCTTAGGCAGCGGCTCTCTTGACCATGCGCCCGATTGCTCCTTCAAGGCGACGCTGCGATGCATGAATGCGTTGCAGGCCCTGCGCCACAAGTCCAGGTGTTGTGCACACTTTCCACCAGCCTCTGACCGCAAAGGGGTTGCGACTGCCCGTACTCGTCGGCGATCCTGTGCGATGCGGCTCACTCAATACACGTGGAATTTCATCATAGAGGTCTCTTGAACGAAGACAATCATTTCTAGGGCCACCCTTGCATAAGACAGGCACATCTAACATCTAGCTAGGTAAGACTTCAAGATTCCCAAAGCTGTGCATGATGCTATGGATGCAAATGCCTGGATCAGCGCAGGAATCGGTGAGCTTGGACTGGCCCTGGCTTAGGGATTCATGGTTATGGCTAGTTTCTGTCCCAAGCTTCCGTTCTCTCAAAAAACATCCTACGAGTGGCATCTGAGAGCCATGCGCACCATGCCGGACTGGGCTTGCAAAGGGCGGTGACACTGCCCTGGCTGGCACATGCTGGCACGAACTGCAAAACGGGATGCTAGGCATGGGGCTAGGAATGGGGCTCCGCGGCCTTGGCATCCTCACTGGAGTAGATGGGCTCTGGCACGGCACCCCCTAACAGTGAGCAGGGTATGCGCATAAGGAGAGGTCTTTGAAAGCATGAGGAAACAGACGAGACGAGCAACAGCAAGTTGTGGCCTTCAGCTGTGCCGTTACCATGGTGGACCTCAGCGGCGCTGTCCACTCGTCAGGTGAACCTTTTGGATTGCAAACTTCTTGCAAGATCTTGCAAACAGTGTCACCTGCCGTGCTTGGGCATCCCGCTGTGACCCATTTCTTGCCAGTCCTGGCAGCTGAATGTCGGCATTGACTATCGACGATCATGCCAAAACGTGCGGCCACAGACATCAATTCCTTTGATTTGAAAGTCCCTAGCCCCAAGCGGCCTGGATACTCTGGCGGCCGCTCCGCCTCCAAGGCAGGGCGCCAATGGCTGAAGGTCGGCAAAGTGGCATTTCCAACACCATTTCGGGATTGTACGCGCTTATACTCTTTGCTTGCATTTTGCAATTACTTGTAGGAATGCTTGCGCTTCGGCCTTGTGCGGCTCTTGGGCCGGCAGGGTCTTACACAAAACCAGATCGAAGAAGATAGCCTGACCCTTGCGCACGAGCTTGCGTCGCCCTCGAGCGAGCTAGCATGGATCCAACTTTTTCGGCATTTTTTTTTTTTTTCGACCCTTCAAGATTTGCAATCGCACCCCGAAGTATCTTATGAACAACGCCCAGAAAGAATGGCCTCTGTTTAGGGTAGGAAAACTTGCAAACAAGGGTGTCCTTGGATTTTGCTTTTTCTCATCGGGAATTGGAATGACCGCACGTCCTCTGTGCAACGCCTGCGGAAACCTGCACAACTACGGACTCTGCTTATGCTACCATTCTTACCGGATGTGAGAACCCACAATGGACCGAAATTGCCCAACCCTGGTTCCCTGCCTGTACTGGTGTTGCGCATGGTGTGCCGCAGGGCGTTGCGTACGGCGAAACCTGCGTGAGATACCTTTCTGCTTTTTTGGGTGTCAGCTTCTGCCTATGGCTTGACATGGACAGACACCATTCACTGCATACGCACTTAACACAGACCTCAGAGATAGCGCTGCGGTGCAGGCTTCAAATCGTTCCTGCGAAGCCCACAAGAACGCATCCTGCCTTGGGTGGCCCTAGCGTTGCACGAGGAGGCGGCGCCACAACCTGACTCAAGCAATTCTGAAAGGATAAAGCCATTATGGCCAGGGTCTGTGTCAAATGCGTTCGGAGAGCGAGCTTGGTTTAGGGTGGACAGGTCTGCGTGCCCAGGCACTGGTGATTTTCCGGGGTAGTACAAATACACTAAGGAAGTCCGGCTTTTCACTTGCAAAGACCGCTTGGGATAGCGTCTTTTTGCGCTGCCATCCGATGCACTGATAATAGCTTGTGCGAAAGTATGAACCGTCAAACTGCGCTTGTTGCACTTCAGCCCATCAGTCTATGGTTCCACGCGCAGCATAGAGCCATAAGCGCTGCACAAGTACTGGGCCACGCAACTGCCAGGGTGTAGCTTGCAAGTCGTGTGTGAGCTTGGTTCGCTTTAGAGTCTCTGCCATTTCAACTTCTGATGCGGGTACATGATTGATCACTACGGCCAATGTTCTGCGTATGCCTTGCAACCGGCTTCGCACACAAGCGTGCCGCAAGCTTGTCCCTGCATCCGAACTGCATCGGAAGCTGCCAGCCAGCATATATCCCCACCCCACATCAGCAGGTGTGACGCATGAAGACCTTCTAGTCAAGATGCACGTGGCTGTAGCTCTACGAAGCAATGGACCATAATTTGCTGTAGCTACGACGGTTCAATTCACAGCTAAGCTTTCAGCAAGTCGCGGGGGATGTCTGAGACTGAAGTTCTGTAAAGAAGCCGCGCAGTCGGATGTTAACGGAGCTTTGTACATAGCTGGTTGAGCAGACTTTTCAGCGGAAAGTTCCTGCCTTTGAGTACGGACATGTACAGGCATTTGGTTTCAACCAGCACTTGCAATGCGCTTTCCTGTGCGAATCTCAAAAGCGAAATCAAATGGCGGAGCAGCGCCCACAAGCACCATGCCCACAGCATGCACTCCGTAGACCCGGTCTGCGCTTAACAAATGCCAACTGGCAATGTGCTTACGGCTACAGGCGGGATTCCATGTCGTAGTTGGAGTCTTTAGTGCTTGTCGGCATCAGCATTGAAACTCTGTCAGAATAGTGCAGATTGTGCTGGCCCGATGGAAGCTCTGACAAGCTTGCAGGAATGCCTGCTCCTCGCCAGCACCCTCTGCAACAATTCTCGCTGGACCACAAACAGTCTGGGCGGATCTACTCAAGCCGCAGGATGATATGAACGCCGCTGTCGGTCATGACAATGTTGCCTGCAGTGGCGTAAGGCGTAGGATGCTACAGGCAAGACTATCGGAACAAGAGCCTTCAAAGCAACCGGGTACACAAGGTAAAGGCACACACGCACACAGAGCAGCCTAATGTTTCACACTAGCACAGTGGGTCCATACCTACAAGACCATGCAAGGGAAGTCTCTTTCTTAACCGAGGTGCTGAGCTCGTTGACATCCAGATCGAACGCAGCCTCCGGCTACATGGCTTGCCATGACATGGTAATTACTGGTGCATGCTATGCCCGAGACCATCTCCAACACTGTTCCGTGAGCTAGATCAACGAAGCACAAATCTGCGAAGCTTTCAGGGATGAAGGAGCAAGAAGCAGGTCAGTCCTTCTCGAAGGCCGGCTGCATTTGACCGCGCCCAAAACGACCTGCCGAAGGAGAAGGCATTTTAGCTGCCTGCATGGAACCTATTCGAACGATGGCACCATTGCACACCGCATTTGTCAGCTGGCAGCAAGCCTCTGAGAAGCCAAAGCAAGCATTGGCATCCGGCCTAAGGAGCCACCTTCTCGAGCTGAGGAGCAGTCCTTGATCTTTCTTGCTTGAAATGGCACATGTTGTGAAGCTTTGCGGGCACGTGAGAAAAATGATTGCATAATGAAAGTTGATGGCCCGGTATCACGTTCGCGGCACTTTGCGAGCTTCTTCTGTCCAGTCGAACCGGATCCAACACAGTGAGCTTCCTGGAATCTCAGCCGAGACTCCGATTCCTTCCTGGCAAGACGCTCGAACTCAGCTTGCCTCTCCTGCAAAATCCAGAGTCAATAGCTTGCGTGCAGGCGACATGTTGCCCTTGAAAAACACTTGTTGTTAAACAAAAATGAGTTTCCCGGCCTGGGGGCTCGATTTGGCGGCGACCGTCTTGCGCAACTCCTACTGGACATGCGGTGCTCATCCCTTGCTCAAACAAACATCAGCCAGCCTTCATCTGATACGTTGCCTCTTCAACGCTTCGCGTAATCACCTCATCATGCGCAAGAAGTTAGGCAGCAAGTGACAAAATGAGAGCGCCACGCACCTCTACAGGAAATACAGGAAGAGCAGTGGATAAGTACACCTTGTCATGCCCACCTGGCTAGTCGTCTGCCGGGGATCCGACGCGCTCTCTCCAAGAACTTGGTCGCCTCGCGACGGTCGTGTGCGTGGCCGAATTTCCAACCACTTCCCCACAGTTCTGCAGCCCTGCCCCATAATGCAACTTGGGCTCCTTGATTTCGTGTGCTTCTTCAGAAGGTGAAGACAACGGACGCTTGTAACCTGACGCTGGCCAGTCAAGGCAAGCTGACTCCCTGTGCAGCTCTTGTACGGATGCTGACATGAGGCTGAGGCTGCACTACTCATGCTCAGGTGAACGGGCCAAACTCTGCACTGAAGCGCGCCAGGACGAAGCAAAGCAAGAGCGCAAACATGCATCGATGCATGACAGACAAATGATTGAAAGTCCCTCCTGGAACCTCGTTCGCAAAGCCGAGAAACTGGCTTCTTGACCTGCAGGTGATTGTCAACTGCGCACGTTGTCAAAGCGCTGGCCACGAGCCAAGCTCAAGGTTGCCATGTCATCCAGCAGCATGCAACATGCTTCAGATACAAGCACGTGGTAGGTGTCCCCCGCGTGCCTGCGGCACATGCTGCGACTTCACCGCGACCGTCTCGGCATGGGCTTCTGGCAATCCGTCGAAGAGGCCACCCTCGGGGGCGCTTCCGCCGCCTGCTTGCAGCCAAAAGCTTTGTTGCCCAACTCACGTGTGCAACTTACAAAATTGGATTATAGTTGTAGGCAGCATCCATGACGTCGTGAGTTTTTGACACATTGGACATGGCGAAGCTTGAGCGCCTGCTTGACCTACAAGCAAAACAAAGCTAACTTGAAGTGACAGTTATTGGCAGCTGTGGAACCTGCCTGCAACAGAAAGAGATGGCCATGGGGCGACCTCTTCAGAAACAGAAATGCCATGATAGCATGATATAGCATGTTCACGGGCTTGCTGGCTGGCTAAACAACTAAAAGTGTTGCACATAACTCGAGGAAGTCCCAGGCTGCAGCCTTGCGCTTCTTGGTCGGTGCATCCTGCAACATTTGATGCGTCCCCCACTTTGGCCAACAGACATGACATGCTCTGTGAATTCACCAAACTTCTCTCCCAATTAGCCCGGTTGAGCACGAGGCTGCTCGTGAGATGCTTGCAAAACAAAAAGTTGGTATTCTCCTGGCCTAAGTGTATCTTGTCTTCCAGAAAGACCTGTCTGGCCTCAACGGTTGTCGTTGTCGTGGTTGTCTCCGCCATGGCTTCTGTAGAAACTCTTGAGCCAAGAGGGCTGCATAATTTCCTGCAGGATGCATGGGCCGATGGGAGGCTTGATTCAGCTGGAATGTGCTATCACGCAGCTAGGCTTGCACTATGCCTTGACCCGCATGGGTGATGTCGCTGAAGGGCGTGGGGCCTCAGCTACCAACTGGGCAGCATACCAGCGGAAATGGTGCTGATGCAGTCCAATCAAATCTGTCATTCGGTTGATTTGCGTGGCCCAAGACTCTTGAAGAGCACCCGGCGCAAGTCTCACTCTTGGATCTAGTTTTTCCACTCAGGCTTTGTCCTGCTGGACTTCAGGCGGTAGATGATGCGAAATCGCATCTTGTCTGCGCGGCTTCTGACGGCCCCAGGTATCCCTCTCTTATCCGAGGACGTCGGGCAATCCGGGCACTTCTGTGACAAACAGGCTTTGCTGTGCCAAGGCACTGGGATACCTGATGGTGACACCCAGAAGTAACTGCAAAACGGGCACATGAAGCTGTTTGCAGAGGATGCTCAATTTAACGCATTATCTGAAATTGAATGGCATACAGCTTCAGGAGCCTCAGGCGGCATTGGCGGGCTTCACCCTCAAATGCACAAAAGCAAGCAGGAGGCTCGTGCATGTCCCGCAAACGTGAACGGCCCCACTCGTTTCCGCTCATGCGGTTGCAGTACCCAGTCGCGGACTTCTCTACGAACCCACACTGCAGATAACACCTCCTGCTGCACTTTACAACTCCAAGGCTGTTTAAAATCATGCCTTGCGAGGAAGTACTCTCCTCAGAGTGTTACTTGGTGCTGCAGCGATCCGGAGCTCTTCTGATGATCCGACTTTTGATAAAAAAGCGGAGAGGCGTTTCAACTCACGAGGAAGCTAGCTGCCAGGTAGGCACGATTCAATTCAAATTTGTTGCTTCCTATGAGGGCAAGGCTATCTCACGCGACTGTCACATACCAAGGCAGAAGGAATAACTACTGAAAAGGGTCAACGCGCCGATGTGGCGATCTAAAATCATGCACAGGTTGAGCTCAGTGCAATGTTTCTCAGCATCAGTCAGATGAATGTTGAAGCTTTGCAATTCTGTTAGAGTGGCCGCCCACATCCCAGTACCTCAATCCTCGCTTGGGAAAGCTGCTGCTCCAAATTCATTCCCCCTTTCGGACTTGTCGCTGGAAGATCAGGTGTGCAGCGTCGGCGTTCATCTTCCGGAATGGATCTCGGACCTTTGATCCGCCAACTGCGTGCTAGGTAGTAGGGGTGTCCCTATGCACACCGTGAACAAGAACAATCGTGGGATGCTCTTCGAGGTAAACAGCAGGCTTTCCTTGCCGAGTGGCACCTTCTTAGAGGCATCTGCAGCCTCCATCCAGGTTGCATCAAGAAACATCTTGCGAGTCGTGCTAGCTCCAGGTTTCTTGGGTCTCAATGCTCACGAAGTTCAAGAGTCGGGCTACGGCACAACAGGCTTCGTGGTCCGGCGGCCGCATCCAGCAGAACACAGCCTACTGGCACACCAAAGGGCCTCCAAGGCAGCTGCTTCCTGTCAGAATTTCAAATTCAGGGCTGGGAACTCACGGGGAACTAGTAGAGCTTTGCAATGATGGCAGGCCAGAGATGGCCAGAGCAACTGCGCTCCTTCGATGCTCGAGCGTCTTCAAACATCTCACATGTCTGCCCTTCAGCACCAACCCCCGAAACGCCGAATCAAGCATGCCTTGGCAAAGGATGCAGCGTTGTCATCGAGGCGAGCCAGCACAGCATCTAGGCCTGACAGAACGCATGGCAGCAAAATGACCGTCAACATGGCATCGGCGCTCAGGCCGCCGCCTTCTGGTCGAACTTCAACCCCGACTTCCTTACACTGCGCAAGGAAATCCTTCAGCATCCCGAAGATGGATTTCACCTGGCAGAATCATACTTGCGAAAACGGGCAACACTCACCAACATAGCCGGTCTGCCATTATTATTCAAAGCGACGACGCAGTCACTGTTGCCGTGCTTCCTAGAGCAATCAGGCTAAAGCCACGGGGAAAGGTGAACCATGCCGGCCGCACCCACTTGATGAAACCCACAGAGGACTTGGGGATGCTGTTTGTTCTACCTCCGAGCCACGTCTCAGATTGGGCTTGCAAGCCACCAGGTACGCTAGCCAGAATATATCACTCGGGGGGGTGGGCGCCCCTAGCCGCTAGCACGATCAAGAACCCAGCCGCAATTTCAGAACGCAGCTTGGACTGCTTGACCCTCCTGCACACCACGCTTCATCCAAGGCGCGATCATGCAGAGGATTGGGTGTGCCTCCTTCAGACAGCACCTGCCAAGGACGCAAAGAGCATGACTGTCCATCACATCACTTCCTGCCAGCAGCCTTACTTGTAACAATCCTCAGAATCCTTGAGCTAGCTAAGCCTACGATTGGCAAACTAGTCAGTGTTTAACTGCATTCCAGCACGAAAAGAATCCGAGCCCGTATTTGATCTCGATTCCTCAGCTGAATGCTCTGGACAAGCGTCACTACAGGAGTTGCCAGCCTGATCGCCCTCTGCATAAAACTCCTGGAAGAAAGACGGTTGCTTTTGGGCCAAGCCAGGCAGAGTTGCTGTTGCATAAAGCCAACAACTTGGCAACTTTTTTGTGGAGTGCCTCAAAGGTCTCAATATGAATCTGATGCAGCTCTACCGCACTCCTCATAGACCTGGTTGTTCCATGCCTTTGCTGTTGCCAGCGGTCTGGTTGGGTTGCTGACATCGCCCGCCTCGTGCTTGAGAGCATGTCTGCTTCCGGACTCGCTGAAGATGGGTGATAGCTACGCTTCCAGCGATTCAATCCGCTCCGTTGGCTAGAATATGCTAGAATGACTGCAGACTTCTTTGTTGTAGAACCGCGCCAGGCCTTTAGAAGAAGCTGGAGCAGCAGCGCTCCTCACAGGCGCTTTGACGTTGTCAGCACATTATTTCATGGCAACGACGTTCAAGGTGCCGCATGCTCATCGGACCTAATGAGATACTTGGGACAGCAGCCCGAAAAATAGAAAAAATCAAGCAGGAGCTCACTAGTTGGACTTCTTTCCTTCTTCATGCCAGGGAACCAGATTAGTGACCCAATTCAGGACTTCACAGCAAGATTACCAAGCGCAGAGAAGCACAGCCGCAGTGGGTAGCTTAGGCTGCCCGTGACTCCTTGCGGGGTCTCCGGTAAGAAGAATGCTGCTGCATCTTCTGTTGTCAAGAGCGCCTACAACGCAGGGGATACTGCCCTAACATCCAGCTGCTAAACTTAGGAATCTGCATCTGAAGCATTGCCGCCTCTGTCTCACCTGCGAAGGCATCCACAATTTGCTTGTGCCTGGTACGAACACAGCGGTGGAAGGTCTCTCATGCAACGACTTCAGCAAGAAATGTAGGACCTTCTGCCCAACTCACCCATGCGCGGTGAAGAGAGGACTCAACCACAGACACATCCTCCATCAATTCATGCCTATTTTCTGCTTTGGTGGCCTCGCCAGATCTGTTCCATGGATGGTAGCTTTCACGGCGTGTCGCAGAGTATCCGAAAGCTTCACGCGCACCTGTCACCATGAGACGCGATGGATCGCGATGGAATCATGCGGCACAGTCACTGAGCTGATGCTCTCACGGCCCAGTAGATGATGGTAGGCATCCCGCAGTCTCCACTTCTCACGCAGGATCTGATCTTCACTGCTGTGCACTGCATGCACACCGCGAATCTCGCATTATCAAGACCACAGGTGGTCATGAAGACCGGCAGTCAATATGAACACACAAGCCAGTGGCATGGAGACAGAAGAGTGAGAGAGCGAGAGATCCCGTAGTCCAAGACGATGAGTAGCTAGAGGTAGAGGAGCCTACCTGAATGAAAGATACAACATCTGGATGATACGAGGCACATCACAAAGATCTGCAACACCCTTGACAGGAAGGAAGCGCCACCGTGGAGATACCAGGGAGAGGTTGGAGGCTGAAAAGAAGAATGGGATGCTGGGGTCCGCTCATCCCTCCAGTCCTCATCCTCGTGAACTCATCCACTTGCTGAACCCCATTTCCCAGCAACCAGCAAAAGGAGGCCCGTTGGGATTAGTCTGTGAGAGCCAAGAGGGGTCAGCCTTCTGCAAAGCGGGGCGGCCAGCAACGGCTAGCGGCTAGCAGTCTTCGGGGCCTCAAGGAGAGATGCTGCTCGGCGCGCAGAGTGGCTCTCCATGGGGCCAACACCATCCTCAGACTCCTGCATATAGCGGCGCAATGCGGCGCAGAGCGGCTCAGCAAGTGCAGTTGCAGAGGGCAAACAACTCTGACAGGGCCCACGAAACGAAAGTCACAAAACTTTGACTTCTTCTGATGTCCTCCACGTATTCATGGCCTAGCCTAGTGAGGAATGCGTTGGTGGTGCCGGTGTGGTCTATGTCCTTGTCTTGGGATGCAGCCGCGCCAGCACGAATGGCAGGAACTGTTACGACAGAATTTACGCTTCATCGCAGCAGTGTTACCAAATCGCAATGCCTATGCAGCCCTGCCACATGTGCAGCGCCAGCGAGGAAAAGCGCCGCACGAGATTCAGGCGACAGCGTCCGATCCTCAATTACCGAGAGAGTATGAGCATGCATTGTGTGGAAAGCAAGCACCTCGCTTTTGTGTGTAGGCGTTCTGGTGTGCCGAGCATCCAAGCCAGTCTCTTCCAGTAGGGTCACAAGAAACCTGAGAGAGCTAAGCATTGGGGGAAAAGCTTGGCAAGGCCTGCTACGCTGAGGGCCAAGCTGAAGGATATCAACAACATGGCTCGGCCCATGGTATGGGTTGTCAGACCTTAATGAAACGAACCCACAATTCATTGCCCCTACTTGGCAGGATTAGCAGGCCAGAGTACGGCATAGCTTGGAGGCAGTCCTCCAGATATGCACGAAGGCTACCTCTGGGAACCTGCCAGGTAGATGTGTTAGGCTCTGACCTGCATGTCATGCATTCTTCGGGAAGCTCTTTCAAATCCCGCGTTCCCTTACACGTCAGAGATGCATCTGCTGCTCTTTCTTATCACTTTTGCGTTAAGCCAAACAACTCTTGCAATGAGCTGACGCCCGCCCCTTCCCGCCTGTAGTGCTTCTGCCACTTGAAGCCTGACGACGGGGTCATGAATTGAGGTACCTTGCCCGTTGTTCCGCGGCAACCTACGCCCCACTCCCACGCCTGTCTGCCAGCATGGACAGAATTTGGAGTCTGTCTTCTCTGGGCACTGAGAGGGCATCAAAGCCATAGGCAGCCTCAGATGTGTCCAAACGGAAATGCGAAGCTGATGGGTGGATTAAACAGAGACTTTGAACACCCCAAATCTGCCCAGCAACAGCTGTCGCATCAGTTGCCTGCAGCCAGGGCGGATTGATGTCTGGCTTCAAACCGTCTTTTTTGGGAATCCTCTAGCAGCCTTTACATGCACCTGAAACAGTTGTCAGCTTGCTAGGCAGTGGTTGAGTACCTTGAGTACTCCTTGCCGACAATTATGTCTCTCACTGTGTTGCACTCGGCTCGCCTGAGAGGCTACGTCTCGCTTCCGGCCAGCCCTGAGCTGTCCTGTGCAGGGGCAATTTTCGTAAAGCAGCTGCTACCGTGTCTAAATCACACCGCCAGGAGCTTTCAAGGTTGTGTAGACTCGGCGGCCCCTACATCTCTCCTCTCCGGCCACCAACCCAACAGGCTATCTTGTAGTGAGGACTGGCTAACGATCAAAAAGCACTTTGTCTGACAATCTGGGGAGCGGTGCCTAAGTTGGAAACCTCGATTCAAAAGTGTGCTTGCTGCCTTGAACGAAGCCACGGCTGCAGGTCGATGCTAGGAGGATGCACAGCAGAATCTCGGAAGCAAGCATCCATCTTGGGGTCTCGGGCGTGTTGCAGCTGTGTGGGATGGAATGCCTAGTGGATAAGAGGCCAGTGATGGCCGAAAGGCTTTGCTGCTGTTGTGAGCAGGCATATGCTTCCTCAACTTATCCATGCCAAGATTTTCGGTGTAGTAGGCTGGCAGGGTATTACAAGCTTAAGCATCCACGAACTTGATCAAGCAAACTTGTGGGGAAAACGCAAGCAGTGCTGCCAACTTCTTTTCCTGCTCCAGTCTGTCTGAACTGCGTTCTCTGACCTCTCCCTGGTCCCTATCAATCCTTACAGCAATACCAGACACCTGAGGCGCTGCCGGAGGTTTCGCATCTGGCTCTTCGTGCAGCCCAAGATGCGAAAGCAGAAGCGTGTGGCCGACGGCGCTGCTGGCCGCGACGAGTCATTGGCTTTTGCGCGAGGCAGATAAACGTTCGCTGTTGTAGCTTCTATTGGGTGGTTGTGGTGGTGTTGTGGTCTGTTCTTGCGTCAATTTTTTGGCGCCGGAGCAAGTAAGGGAGGGAGCTGTCAAATCTTCCATGCAGGTAGCAATGCTACTCCCCCACGTTCGGTTACCATGCTCTGTAACTTACAATGTTGCTGTTCTGATTATCGGATGTCTCTCTGCGGCTGTTTTTGCATAGCATGCCTTAGCTCGCTGCATGTCGGAGTAAGGCTGGCTGCGCATGTCGTCAGCACTTGTCGTGCTTTATCTCAGTCGCAGAGTTCGGGCCTATGACGGCAGGGACATGCAACGGCAAACACTGCGAACTTATGACGGAATGGGATGTGTCACTCATTGACGCTCAGATGGACGTGACGTCTCTTAAGGCGAGCAAACTTGTTGGGCATACTAAGCTGCAAGCTGCCTGTGGAAAGGCTGCATACCTCAAAGCGCAGCACATCACAGTTGCTGGCGCCAGCTCCAACTCGCCGTCAGAAGATGCTGTCCGCCAGCCCATGCTAGTCAGAGACTCATCATCTTAATTTCATTTCTCTTGACTTTGCTGAACTTCTGCCTCTCTCAGTATCTCTCAGTTGTGGCTCTTCTGGGCTTAGGGAACTTAGGCCTTAAACACTTGGTGCTACGTTGTTAAGATGGTTCCATCTGCGCCTTGGAGGATGTATCATCGGCTGGCAGCTCCGCTGCGGCTTTGCGAATGGGGCAAGTGTGCGTCTGCAGAGGCCTAGGGCACACGGGCGATGCTGTAGCTCCTCATGCGGCTCCTCATGTTCAACCATCCTCACAAATACTTCAGAATAAAAGGCACGAGCCTTGGCCGGAGGTGTCGGCTGCTCTGAATGTCGCCGAGCTACTCTCTACTGGCCGTGCGCGCTGTTGTTCCTGAATGTCTTTGATTTTGCTGCGCTTTTGTTCAGTGGTTCTTTGCCGCAAAGCTACATTTTGCGGACCAAATGGCAACCGGAAAGGTCTATCCTGACCCGATGATGCCTTACTTGCAGTGGCGCAGCGTGTGTGGCTGCTAAGGTGCATGTGGATCTACAGTCTCCCCTAAATAGTTTTTCCTACCACCCAGTTTGCAAGCTCGAGAGTTGCCTCTTCAAGGCAATGAGTTCTGCTGAGAATATCTCGTTAGGGCAGTTGAGACTGGCCATGCTGATGATCTAACCACGCATTCTCAGCTGCTTGCCTAGGTGAAACCTACTTTCTGGTTTCGGAAGGGTTCCCTTGAGGGCTCACTTCCTCTGCAGTCTGCTACAATACATTGACTTCGTGAGGGCTTCCTCTCAATCTGGTCGGGAACGAAGTGAACCTGACCAAAACAAACAAGACCATGGGACTGGAATCCGAATCAGCTGTGCACAGCGGACTTCGGGAGTGAGCCTTTCTCAGCGACCAGCTCCTGCACGGCTGAACCTTACATGCCCAGTGTTCTTCAATTCTCAACTGCCGTTGCGTGTGTCCCTGGCAACTTGAACAGCTGTTGAGATCACATTGTGAGCCGGTTCTGGTGTCTTGCACAGCCTACCTGTCAGGTCTCCTGCTGCTTGCCCTTTCTTGCAGTGTTTTCTGTTGTTGGGGTCGGAGGTCTTTTGTTTTGCTTGCGACTGCACAGCGCAATGATGTGCTGCAGCATATCTTCAATCTATATGTACTGAGGTAGGCATGGTGGCCAGCAACCAACCAGGCTGCCAACAGATCTTGGGACAGTGTCTGTGCTTCGCCGCAGAAGCTTGTGCTCGGGGGATTTCTCTGCTGCTGGCACAACAGTGGTGGAGTAGTGAAATAGCCACAGACCATCTTGTGCATACCCACCATTAGGGCCAGGTGCGCCCCTGCGCTGCACATGGATGTCTTACTAGAACTGCTGACTTTCACAGACCCTTCTTCGATCTTCTTCGGCTGACGCTGTGTAACAACAGAGGGTTGGTTTCCTGTCTTCTGATTGGGGTCACTGACGGATGCAGTTCTAATTCATCACTTCCTCGCATGACAGCCTTCCTGCATTCAAGCCTGTCCACTGTGTGACGCGGGCCGCCAGTCCTTTACTTTTAACAAGCTTGTCTGGCTAATGGGAAACCTGGCAGGGGTAGTATGAAGGGGGTAGAAGAGGAATCTATGACAATGACTGCAAGATGGAGTCCCTTCTGGATTCTGGTGTTGGCGCTCCCTTGTAGACACTCCCTCGTTGTCTTCTTTGCTCCGCATCTGGCACCGGTGTAGCTCCGAGGGCAAGAGAGTGCAGAGAAATGGGTCAAATGCAGCCAGGTAGCGGGTCGTGGTGCATGGTGGCCACGTAATTGTCTGCGTACATGGTAATCTCGCAGAACCTTGGAACCGGGCTCTCAACCTGATTGCAGTGGTTCACAGAAGCCCCAGAAAATCCACCACTTGCCACCATCTTCGGCTTGATATTCGCGGCCGCAGGATACTCAAAACAAATTGATCACGTCTTGGCCAGCCGCGTCTTCGGTCTGTAGAACCTGCAGCGCTAAAGGGCTAAAGTGCTATTGCGACTTTCCCGGCTCAAGGCATCCAAAAGCTGATCCCAACCAACGTAAAGCATCAGTTGCCTTTCAAATCTCGCATGATACAGGGGCCGGGAGGCCTGTTGTTGTTCAGCTCCTTGAGACGCTTGTCTGGTGGAGCTTGCGGAAGACGACGATCTAAGCCTAAAAACGTGGTTGATCTGGGTGGCTCGATTTTCCCACAAGATGCTGCATGGCATAGCCGAGCCAAAAAGGTTGTGCTCTTCAGCTATCTGCAGCAAACCCTGTGCGCGCTCCTTTGGGCAAGCCGGGGTGGGAGGCGTCAAGTTCCGAGCGTTCGGAACCCGAAAGAAAGATCNNGATCTTTCTTTCGGGTTCCGAACGCCAACCTGTGGGATTTGCTAGGGCAGCAGCTCGGCATAGATTCGCTGCGGGGCCTCTGACAAGTTGGATTCAACATGTACCGACAGGGAGATAGGATGTAGCCCCTCCATGACGGGTTGGTGGTAGCTAGCGGCATGCTGCTGGACAAGCGTGGTCATACTACTTCGCGCAAACAAGTTCAATCATGGCACCACTGAGACCCGCGCGGCTTGCAAATGCCAAGCGCCTCTGCCTCTGGGTACCTGCAAGCGGTAGCTCCATCCAAGACCCGGTGCGACAAAACCTCGCTCCTCAAGAGGAACCCCCTCTCGAAAGACGCAGGATCTTTGGGACTGGCAACGCAAATGTCACATGCACGAGGCTTCCATGTTTCCGGGCCATCTGCTTCCAGAGGGGAACATGACTGTATGGGCCTAACTTTACAGGCACAACCTGAGCGCCTCTTCCGCACCCTCATGGCTTCGACGGCCTGCGCACCTGATGCAGGAGGAGCACGTGCACAACGTCGTGAACTTCACACCACGCAGAGATGGCAAAACGGAAGGGTCATCACTTGACTCTAAGCTGCGCATGGCACCGACTCCTGTCTGCTGTGCTCTTGGGCGGGAGCTGCTTCGAGTTGCAATGAGCCAGCCAATCTCCTGCATTTGTCGTCTGTAATTTGCAAAACCGTCCATTTGGAGATGGATGCAGCTGGTCTATCAGGCGGCGGTGTACAAATTTCATGCACAAATCAGGTGGAACGCACCTGCGCGCGGGTGCACGGCACGTCCCACTTCTGGCACGGCATCTGGCATGACGGAGATTGACAGAGCGGCTTAGCTACAAGTACATGCGGGTAGGAGCGGCATTCTGCACGGCTCCGCAGGGTTGACAACCAAATGTCAAAATCTGAATGCTAGACACCAGCCATGAAACAGAATAATGTGGCGCGTACCTTCTTTGTGTGCATGAGCGCGTTGTAATCGAAGCTATTGGGGTCAGAGTTCTCGCCTGACCTTGTGGGCATACGGAAATTGTAGCGCTGGCGTCTTCAGGAGAAGGCGGCGGAGGTGAGGTAAACCAAGCATACCATCTATCTCATCTGCCCTAACCCGCTCTTGTGTCAGGTGTAACGGCGCAAGTTTTCTGGTGCAGCATTACAGTTTGAAAGTGTGCTGAGGCAACCCATCTCAGTCAGGGACATAATAGCCTGCGGGGTATTCTTCTCCACCTGACATAACATGGCCAAGAATTGAGGAGTTGTTTGTTACCACAAAACAGGGGACAGCTCAGTTTGGCGCGCCCAAGCTTTTAGCAAAGCACTTCGGGCCTTGGGAGCCAGGATTTCCAGGCGGCTGTGACCTTGTGACCGCCGCATGTTCCACGGAAGTCTTGAGTCATTACGAGCGCCACTACATATCATGCTGTGCAAAGAACACCGCGGCTGGCACAGCAAGATGAATATCCAACATGCAGGAGTGGAAATGCATTTCGTGTATCTGCTTGCATCCAAAAGTCGCATTTTCACCGCCTGGGAATCCAGCATGTGCGAGCATGCAGCTTGCACCACAGACGACGAATCAGAATCGCGAACTATCTTAATTTATTGCCTTCATTGAAAGGTCTCTATCCGCTCATGTTTCTACTAGACGTACTCGACACTTCTCAAGCCTGTTCGACGCTGCTTGTGAGACATTGTCAAATTGTGCTCACCTTGCAACTAGTATTGTTGTTTATCTTTCACTTTGTACAGGGTGCATGCAAGGGCAACCAGGATCTACGAGCTGCCAAGACATTGAAAGGACAGAGCACGAAGTCTGAAGACGTTGCTCCCAGAGCGAACTAACGGGCGCAAGTCAAGAAAGACAGCAGTGCCAGTACGACGCATAATCTAAACCCGCGCCCGGAATCCTTACACCAAAGATCACCAAAGCTTCCTTGAGTCACTCGTCCTGTTTTTGCACAACGTTGTTGTCTGGCCGGCTTCCATCAGATTTTGACTTGTGCATGCGCGCCTTTCAAGCCTTGCAAACTCCAAGGAAGACGCACTTTTTTGGATTAGGTGAACTCCTCAGCTTTTGCCTGGAAACCAAGCAATATGCTCCCAGCCAAGCGTCTAGGGGATCGCCCAGCCGCTGCGCGTTTGCCAGGTTCATGACCTTAAGTTGGGCAAGCATATTGATGTGGGCAGCTGCGCAGCGGAATTCTCAGAGACCGAGTGAGAACAAGCTATGCCCAAGCAGTTGCTTTGCGGTGACAGAAACCAGAAATCACAAGCAAGGAACGTAGGCCGGTGGACCCGGATTCGCCTTCCGGGCCTGCGCATATGGCCCACAAGCTTTCAACATCTTTCGAGCTATTCATTCAGACCAGAACTGCACAAGGACGTACAACGCTGAAGATGGAAGGCCTCCTGAAACAGCCTAGTCTCCTTGTCCAAGGTCTCCTCAATAAATCTGAGCTCCACACTTCCAGGCTGTAATCAAGTCAAACCAGAGCAGCATGGAAGCGCTTTGTGACCGTGGTTAGGCTTACCAAGCTTACCAGTGCTTCAAGGCGAATTCGTCTTCATCTTGTGCTCAACGCTTGCATTTTTAACAGTGCCTGCCATATCGGGCTGGCCCTGTCCTTCCAAATGCATTCCGCGGAGACCCGGTCGACATAATGTGGGATGCCTTTCAGACAGGTGACACCAGCAGCTGCCAGAAAGGCATAGGAGATAAAGAGCAACTAAGTCTTGCTGATGTGCTGGGGTGTTCTCAACGGCGCTTGTGCATAGTGCATGATGTCATCCTACCGTAAAGTGATCACATCATCACCACTGCCGCATGCCTGGCAGCATCCCTCGAGCTGTGGACGAGGGCTTCGATGGGTCCGCCATGCCCTCTGAAGCCCTGCCAGCCTCCAGCATTCAGGACAAGTTGCTCCAATCAGATCAGAAAACAAAAAGCTGCACCGCAATCATTCTTGAGCTGGCATTTCTTATCTTAGCCGCTGAATCGTGGGATCACTTGCTGCTAGTTGCAGCATTCTCGTGCGCATTGCCCCATACAGTCGTGCATAACATGCATGACCACCGTGACCAACGAGGCCTGCAGATGCAGCAGGTGGCAGATGCGGGAATGATGATTTCTTGAGCCCTGTGGGCTGCAGAGTCAAATCAATGGCCAACTTTCAAACTGGCCTGTCCAAGTTCATATTCTGCTCCATGCTGTTTCGTTGCTTGTCTTCGTGGAATTCTTGCATCTGGGGACGTCAGCTCAGGTGACGCTTCGCGCTGTTGTACGAACACACTCTTACGCGGACTGTGCAAAATGCCGCGTTGGAACTGCGCAGCCATTCGTTTCCACTCACCAATGCCGCTCGCATGCCCAGATCCCAAGAGTAACCCCCTCTTATCTTCAGGCAGTTCCCTCATCAAATTATGGAACAAGCATCTAGCAAACACAGCATAGCGGCATGCAAGCAAGCGATGCGGCATCCTTTTCCACCTTCGCTATACACCGCAAGCGAATCCACGTTGCAGAGCTAGAGACAAGCCCAAGTCTTAAAAGGCGTCCAAACAACACCATCGCATCACTTGGTTCAGCCCAAAACCGAGCCACTTGTCTGAAGCCTGGCTTCTCCAGATCTGATGAGCTGGGTCACGCGGTGCTTCGAGCCTCTGCCGCTTCCGCGAGAAGGTGGTAGAACTGATGCTGCCGCCGCAAGGAATCCTGCCACATCTTCCCACACAGCCCATGCTTCAGTGAACAAGGCATGTCAGCTTTCGCAACAAGTTCTGTCAAGTCGGCTTATCCTGCAGTCGTGGCATGCAAGCTACCTGCTGCGACAGCAGTTGCGAAGTTGCAAAGCCCGGGACCTCTGAAGCTGGAAATCCAGAGGCTTCTTGTCAGTGTCTTGGCCACCCTCGGTGGCCTGAAGACACAGTAGCGGCACTCTGGCTGCCAATTTGGGACAGAACCACCATGTCACCCCATATGGTCCTATGATGTTTGAAGAGGAGGCTTGCGGCGCAGTGCAAAGGACGGGTTTGCAAAATCAGGATAATGTTCACAACTCGGCAAGTCTTCAGAACCCACCCCAGCACCGGAGACTGCGTGCATGTTGATGACATCAGCGTGGCTTGCTGAGCCTCTATCAACTCACGCATGAGCCGGCCAACAACGCCAGCATTTTTGAACTGGTTGCCACTGGTGCCAATGGCCATGTAGAAGCCTGCAGGTCTCAAGGAGAAGTGCAGAAGCGGAAACCAGGCTAGTCCTGCACTGGAACAGAACATCATCCAACGCGCTTACATGAGCTTGAATGTTTGCTGCTAACAAGCTCTGTGCTATCCTGCCTGGCAAGGACGATTTGTCGTAGATTGGTACCCAATCCTGTCCAATGAGATTTTGCGTTTGTCGCGGCTCATGCAGCTATTGGTACCCCCACGCCTGTAGAAAGAACGCCTAGAGAGATGCGACCTGTTGCACCGTCAACTTCGTGAACGCTTGCTGAGTCCTCTGTCACGTCGTAGCACGCGCTGCAGCCCTGGAGGTGCAAGACCGCATGTTTTCAGTGTAGTTACGAAGCTATGCCAGGAGGGTCCGGGAAGGCGATGGCTGCTTGTGACGTCTGAATCGGAGATTTACTGTTCCGAAGTTGCTTTCGTTGATTGATTTCCTGATCCATGCAGGAGCAACAATCACTGCCGGCCTGCGCACTCTGAGAGTCTGGAAGATGCAAAGATGGCATACGCAAGGCGAGCCGGTAGACCTGATGCAGGAAAAGAAGCGGCTCCCAGCTGGAGGATGCCAAGCGAAATCGCATAGTCCCGGACATGTGACGACATATACCAGACAAGAAGGCCTACATACGCGTGAATGCTCAGTAACCTCTGCATCTCCTACAGGGTGCAGCCAACATGCTCTGCTTGACTGCTTTGTGTTTCTGTGAATTTCTATTGACCTGTGTCTCCCTGCTGAATCTGCTTACTTTGAAATTGAGCACCCTCATCACGGTACGGGCCTGGTTCGTCCACTGATCCGTCAGCGCTGCGAGCTCTCTTCCTGGATACACTGCCTTCGCGGCAGGGTTCACGAATGAAATCGTATGAAGGAAGGGTCATATGGGTTGCGGAAGATTCATGGTGAATGTGGAACAACTTGACATATAGACACGATTTATGCTTCCCAGCGGAGCTTTGCTGGCTGCTGAAAGCAAGAGGCATCTTTGAAGCCTAAGAAAATAAGAAAACTCAGCCTCAGGGTCATCTGGGAAAATATGGAATGCCTGCGCCGGGCATTTGTTGAAGCAAGCACAGAAACCTTTCACAACAAGCGCCTCGTCACACTGCGGCTCCACACTGCCGACGAGGATTTTGCCTCCGACTTCAGGCCTGCCAGGCTCTTCTAGGCTTGTGGAAGTTGAGGTTTCAGGATGTTTCCGGTTATCCCCGGATTCAGTGCCTGAAGTAGACCCCAATGTCCAGGTCCGTGCAGATCAAACCTGGACAAAGCCGACAAGCTCGGCTATAGGCAGCGCAAACCAATATAACACCTCTGCCATTTCTGCCGCAAAGCCGTCAAAAGAATGATAAGACTGTGCTCCCTCCTGCAATCTCGTGCAAAGCTCTGAGGTGCTCCTGGGCCGTCTTCGTCCCAGGAGACGCCCGGAGGCGGGTTGACATAAGCGACTTCCTGCACCCAAGAAATCCAGGCACGTACAGTGACTGCTTCGAACGCTGCTCTCCAAGCCTGGCGCATCGGCTTGGTGTGAATGGCCATGTCGTTCTCTGCCGGATCCAGGAAAGCCAACTTTGTCACCTGTACTTGCAATCTGCACGTTGACTCTTGTGACAACAAGGATTCTCACCTTGGTTCACAGCCGCACCGGAATGAAGACAACGGCAAATAGGGTTGATTGCGGAACTGCTCAGCAGCAGCAAACTTGAATCACGCTTGCGCGGCCTGCGCAGAGTGAGGCCCTGCCACGTTGATGACCACCGGACTGTCGAGCTCCAAGCCACTAGCGCAGCTGATGCCTGGCGGAGGAGGGTTCATAACCCAAGCAGGAAGGCATTGCAACTTCAAACACAACCTCTGCATTTCGACCCAAGACTTGCACCAACACGCAGAGTTCGCGGCTTCCGGGAAAACACGAATAATATGTCTTGCTCACACCCAACCAGAATTGAACATCAGAGTAGGTTTGGCTCAATGAAAGGCTATGACGGAAAGGCACCTGCAACGCGCCCACTCTCCCGCCGGATAGCCGTCACCGTTTCGCCTTCACAACGCAGCTGCAATGCAAGAGCACGACATGAACATTATGTGGTGTGACGAGCTTGGGGCAGTGGGATGAGGCCCGAAGTCTGTGCACTATCATAGCGCACCGAAAAAAATGGGAGCCAGGCCAAACAAGTAGTCTGAACGCCCGGTTGCCTGCAGCGGAGGATGTAGCAGACTGATCATTCTCTGCTTTCTGTGCACGCTTGCAACTTCCGTCGACGAAGTGACTTAATGAGAGCCTCAGACGCGGTCTGCAGATTCCTGGCTGCGAGCATCGGGTCGCTGACATAGCCTAGCAGCGCGCCCAGCGCGCAAGAAACGAAAAAAACAAAAATCATCAAGGCAGCAAGCGTGGCACGCACGCCTGCCATCGGGAAAAAAACGCCCCCTCCGATTTCCTTACCCTTGGGCTCACCGAAAGTGTCGTCATCAATGCGCACCTTCCAGGAATCTTGTAGAAAGTATTCGAATTTGGTGTCGAACATCTGCGCGGACGCTGAATTTCCACTGCCTGCGGGCCATAACTCTGGAGGTCAAAATGCATTCGCGTCGCTATGTCTGATGCCTGCCCAGGTTCAGCAACGACATCTCACAGACTGCAAAAGCTCTTGCCTCCCAGTACTCGTACGGCAGTCCGACTGCATCATGGCTTGCGATCTTGGACAGGGCAGCGCTATGCCCAAGTCGCACGTGTGTGCCAAACTTGTTCGTGTAGCACAGGTACGTTTTAGTCAGCCAAGCGGCTACGCGGTCTAGGAACTGCTGGGAAGCCTCACAGTCACACGCAGCGTTGTCTAATTACCAACTTTGAATGCCCTGCTTGGACATGGTGCGAACAAGCTGGGAATCTTAGAGGCAACTTGCCGTCCACACAGTTGAGATTTCCCAGTGGAATGAGGGCGCTTGCCCAAGTTCAGCAAGAGCACGCCGCATCATGAATGTGCAGACGCCTCTGAACGCAAGACTAGGGCGCCACAGCGGCGCAAATGCGCGAAACCGTGGGGATCCTGGCACACGGGATGTTGCCGGTGGAGCTCTGCCATGCGATTTGGGATCCAGCTGTCCCTCTTTTTGATTGCAGCGCCGAAGCACCTTGACTGCGTCCCTGCACTTTCCCACATTTGCCCAGGGATTCTGCGCTCATGAGGGAATGGACAGGACAATTGAAGTGGGAAGACGCCTCCCACATCAGGCAACCCTCTCGAGAAAGGGGTCACTAAAGTGACAGGCACGCTTGACGTACCTGTCAAACCATCCAGCATCTCGAGGGAGGGATCTGTAGCAATGGCGCAGATCTGACAATACCACTGTACTGTGCTTTACGCTACAGGCGGATAGTTACGGATAGTTCTTGACACTACAGAGCCCTGCAAAAGAAATCAAAGTACACTGAGACGCTTCGCGCCGGCTGGCAAGAAGCGCAGCTGCCATCGTGCTGTGCTTGGAGGCGCTTGTAAGCAGGCTCACAGAAAATCGAGCCAATCACGAGTGTCACAGAGGGGCGGTTTCTGCCTCATCGCTGCCGCCTGAGTTCATGCGTTGGTCAGCCGTTTGCTGAGCAAATTGTCTTGGTCTAGACTGGTCATGCGGTACAAACTCTGACAAGGCATGGTTTTTTGTCGAGTCCCCGCCTGCTTCCTGCCAGATTTCCGGGTCGAACCGCTGAAGCCAGGCATAGGCCATATTAGACATGTGATTGGCCACCTGACAAAAATCTCCGTTGTAAGCGGCTATGATTGGGGCTGCGGGCATTTAGTGAAAATTCAGTTGTTGCATTTTGCTTTGTTTGCACGCCGTGAAAACAATCCAATGTACATGGGGGCCTCGTTTACTCAAGCCGATTTCGGTGTCCTGAATCCGACAGGAAAAACCTTGACCCAAGTCGGAACCCGAACGCCATCATTCGCGAGCAAGATGCATCTTCGGCGGAGTCTTCAGGCAGCTCCTGTCCGCGGTGATCTTTGACCTGAGCTCCGCTGAGCGTTTCCAAGTTTATTCTTGAGAGTCGTTTTCTTCGCGCTGGCTGGAAGAGCTGCCCTAGCGCAGCAATGCTCACAAGTCTCTGAACTATTTCTGAACCCGCCAGGTGGCTGCATCATACGTGCGTGCAACACAGCGTACAGAGCCCTCCACCAGGCGGCACCTCAGCTAGGCAATACCCAAGTGCAAACCTTCACGGTTCCAGCAGCATAGTAATGCTACTTACTCGCGCAAGCTCAACTGAACACTATGAATACTGTACACTGCTCATCAAGTCTGGCGAAGGCACTGGACCAGGCAGTCCACGTGCCGGCGGCCGTCGAACTCCAGCCTTTCATACTCCTCAGAATTCATTGCGGGCACCCTAGAGTCAAATAATTCTGACTCGGTGGCACTGCAACCCTCTGAAGGATCCTCCATCGATTCCGACCCCATTGCGGAGGCAGCACGCTGCGCTGCTGGCACGTCTGCCTGCCGCGATGTCTTGCTTCAAGCTTCAAGGTGAGAGAAAGCGCAGGGCTGTGAAGCCCAAAGGCAGCGCTTTCAAACTAACCCAGGATGTGAGTGAAGATCACCCGTCTGCCAAACGCCCTGTAGATTCAAGGAATGAATGTGTTTTGGCTGAAAAGGCCGGAAGTCTTCTTTCCCTGGATTCGACCAATTGCCTGCGCAGCCAGAAGCAACAGAGGAGGCACGCGGCCCTGCCTCACAAGCTGGCAAGTTGAATAGATTTTTCTTGTGATTCTGCTGTTCCGCTTTCACAGGAAAGCAATGTGCCGGCACACAGCCGCCCTGAATCCACCAAGGTGCTCTGCAGCTATCTGAAGGGAAGCCAGTTCCTGAAGCCGCAAGCGACCCAGAAATCAGCTTGACTGTGGAAGGCAGAACCAACAAATGCGCGGTGCAAATCATGTATCCCCACAAACTGGTCCGCAAGCTTGGGCATTGACACCATGGGCAGATTGGGGTATCGAGCCTGGTCGTGAATCGCTGCCTCTCCATCACAGACACAGGATGACCTTAGATGTATCAGGGCCAGCCCTGCACGCGTGACTTCCACGTGACTTCAGATGACATTGGGCCAGGCGACAGGCAGCTCAATGCCCATATCGCCTGCGGTGGTAGCTGGTAGCGACAAGAATAAGCAGCCGTTGGCTTGGTGAAAGTTTGGTGAAGATAGAAGGAATATAAAAGGACTTCTTGGCTCGGCTGGTTCAAGGCACTCATCCGCGGCCTCTCGTGCCCTCACATCGCGGCGTGCTGACGCCGCGAAAAGTCGCAGGACCGTGCTGGCACCTTCTGCGCTCCCTCGTTTTCCCTCAATTCTTGCCGAATGCTGAATGTGTGGCGACACGTGCCTTCTGATCGTCCGTAGAGGTGGTATGGCAGAGGAAAATTGCCTCAGCATCAGCATGCCCAGCCTTTGCATAATCTTCACAAGAAAATTCCGGATCAAGATCTGCCACACAGAGATATTGAAAAGGCACATACTGATGCCAAGCTGCGGGACTGTACATATGCCAAGGCTGCTAGGACGTCTGAGACCTCGGCTCCAGCAGTCCCACAGCTATCAAGCAGGCCGGGGTCATGTTCAGTATGAATCAGATTTGAAAAGAAAATGAGGCTGCCCAAGTCTAGCCTAGCGGCTCGACGGTCGCCTTCCTGCGCTCTCACGCTACAGCAAACTAACTAACCCTCATGAAGGTCGAAGGCTGTGATGGGTCTGCAAACTCAGGCCTACAAAGTGCAGATTCAGACCTGTGGCGGCTCAAGCCGGTCGCGGCGACCATCGAAGAAGGAATCCAGAAGCCTTGGAAAGCATTGCAGCCTGCTATCCAGTCACACTGCTGCCTTCAGATTTGTGATTTATTCCGCGACTGTTCAGAGTAAATGGAGCTACTGTATGACACGCAGCCCATTCGCAGTAGATTGCACTTGCGCCGACTTGTTGGCCGGCAGTCTCTTAAAGCAAGAGCTACAGCAGCGTTGTGCTTTTGAAAGCTCAAGAAGTTATAAGCAGACTCATCGCTGCCGAGTTGCACGGCTGTAAAACCCAAGCCTGCCAAGTGCAGAGGCGGTTCGCAGAGACACGCGGAAATCCTTCTTGCTCAATCCCCAGACTTATGCTGCAAGAGTAGGCGTGCAGCCAATGACTTCCCTTCAGCGTGACGGTTGTGCGGAATGTTCTGACAAGAAGGGTTTTGTACACAGCACTTGGATTCAGCCGCTGAATGCCTGCTTCTGGGTGTCAATTCCAGAGCCTGTTGCAACTTTCATGGTTTCGGGGCCTCGCAAAGCCAGCCCAAGCGCCGCTGCACCACCGGGCGTGGCCCCGTCTGACGGAGTGATTGCTCGAAAAGGATCCAAAACATGAACATCTGGAACTTGGATTTTTTCCAGCATAACAAACGCATCAAAACTTTACGCCAGGTAGATCTGTACTTGGCTGCAAACTGCGCATGGACACACCCATCGTGATTTTGTAGTTCCCCGTTGGCTTGGCGATCTTCAAAGCTTTGTTAAACACATCAGGTGAGCCCTAAGCATGACGCCCACAGTAAGCTGCCCTCAGTGCCTTTGCTGCGGTTGCCAAGCCAGTCCTCATCCGAGCCATGCAGGATGAGTACGGTGCCGCTGCCCGGAACCTGCTTCGTTTTAAGCACGCAACTACTGTGACGAGGCTCCTGATCTGAGATCTGCATGCTGATGTCAAGGTATAGACTGATTTCTGATTTACGCGCACATTTTGAATCTCAAATTTCCGGCCCGTCAAAAAAAAAAAAACTCATCCAGGAAAACTGCAAGGGTCATCGGCACTAGTCACAGGTCTGCACGGAAGCGCGCCTTCGGTAGAAGAGGAAAAAGTCGGACCTCGGAAGACCCGCCCCACTGATTTGGAGACACTGAAAACTCGGCCTTGACTGTATTCTGGGCCTAAAGCCTTAGGAGGCTTGATGTCTGCAAAATGCAGCAGCTTCTGTCATGTGATAAGCGGTCGTAATTCGCCTTGGCCTCCGGCCAACAGGCGCCTGGATACGGACATTCATTAGGTTGTCAACTTTGTCGCTGAGACGTCGAAGCGGGCTCATGGAGAAAAACAACTTAACTGCCAAGCTCACCGCTCAAACAAAAACCAACGAGTACAACTTCTGGAGGCAACACGCTCAAATGGCTCCAACCTTGGCACCGCCGCTAGAACCAACCCTCCCCTCCCCCAAGTAGCGTCGCGCGAGCCCCTCGCCAAGGCGGACGCGCACTAGCGTTTACAATTCGGAACTGAAGTGCCTGGCTTGCTGGGGTGCTTGCATGCGAAAATGCATGCATACTATTACGCACTTTGTTTTTGCAGACTGGTAGCCGCTGCTTTTGTAGCAATGAGCTACACTCGGAAATCAAGCTCGTGGCCTGACCAGCTGAGCCCCACGCCGGGCCCAGTGGCTGTGGAAGCCGAACACCCCGGCCTCTGCGGAAAAAGGTTCTGGGAGGGGAGGCGGCAAGGGCATGAAGTGGCACCCGCCTAGGAGCGGTTCAAGCTCCTCTACAATGCTCTCAGCCATGTACGGCCGTGCTGCTGCGTTAAGTTGCCGATGGTCGAAATGAGTTTGTTGGATCTGGTCGTGGTGTGTTGCTGTGCACCAATAGCTGCCTCCATGTCGTGTCTGCTCTTCACTTTGAGTACTATCATTTTTCATGGTTCTGGCTGTCCGCTAGCTGTCCGCTTGAGTAGGACAGCTTGCATGCCCCAACTTCACGGCCAAGCTCATGTCAATGTGCTAGAAGACGTGAGAGAGCAGAGTGTCGTGTAGTCACGACGTGAACTAGCTGCTGCGTTGGGCGTTGCCATGTGGAGCACAGCAACCATACGATTGCCTGCACTCCGATGTGTTCTTCCCAGTTCTCAAAGTAGGTGAACCCCTCCTGAGCACTTCCAGTGCTACGACATCCATGTCTGAGGATATCAAGAAGCATCTGAACCTCCTTAATGTTTTAATTACAATGAACGATTTTGCAGACAGGCTGCCCAGGCAAATTTCACACTATCCAGCAGGCTGTACCTGAAGCCATGGATGCGAACAAAGTCTGCACAGCAAAACGTGCTGCTACAATCCATAGCTGTTGTTCTATCTCCGAAGTTGCGCTGAGACCGAGGCATTGTGCGGCAAATGCCTGAAGAGTAGCCTGGCCAGTGGAGTGGAGAGAAAACCCAATGCAGCTGCATCACATCGCTTGCGGATGCTTTGCGAGTCTGCACAACCCCAAGCGGCAAGAGCAATTGACTCGAAACAACAACATCTCACGTGAACTACGGCTGAAGGAGGCGCGCCTGTAGAACCCTGACCAGCGCCCTTCAGCTTATCGACATTGAGCGTGCGCCTAAGTTGCTGAGCTTTTGGCTCCTCTGCGCCAGTAGGGGCTAAAGGCAACACAACTGACAATATTGTAAGGCTGTAAGGCAGGGGCCAACCACTGCGGGAGAGCTCAGTTGCAATGGAATTTCCTATCACGCCCGCGCCAATGATGATAGCATCCTGGCACATTGTTGGCACAGAGATACCTACTTCTTCTTATGTCAATAATCGTACTTATAGTAATCATACAAGGAATACTAATAACAACATTATGAATAAAAATACGAAGAGTGATAGTAGAAGCGATGGGTGTAGAACCTGACACCTCGCGGATCTCACTCAGCTGAGCTCGGCTGTACTGCAAAGGGCGAAGCTTGGGCCCAGGCATAACTTTTCCTGCGACCAGAGCTCACCAAAAAGGGCAGGCAAAACAGCATCTGATGTTGCATGCAGCTGTCTTTGGACCCCCCCCCCTCCCCCCTCCTTAGGAGACACAGAACCATCAGGACTGCGCTTCTGCATAATTCTGTACCAACACTTCATCTAAGGCAGGAGTCTGCAACAGACGTCTCACCGGTTTTAGGACAGCAACATGCGAGAGAGGGCATGGAAGTTGGAGGAAGCGAGGAGGGCCAAAAAGGAACGCAGGGAGGGGAGCAGCGCTCACCGCGACACCACCCGCTCGGACTCTTTTTCAGCTTCTCATCACCGGAGGTCGATGACCACTTTCACTACATTCTCGTGGTACCTGAGCACAGCTGTCCCGTGCAGACCAGCGAGACAGCAAGATCTGGCCCAGTGCCCGAAGACACGCTGACACGCACACTTCCATCCGAACAACGGTTGTCCATGCCAGGGTGCTCTGAAGCCAGTGTGAAGGCGTGTTGAATCTCCCCAAGTGGGAGGACATGAGTAAAGATACCTCGAGCACAAGGTCACACCTAGTTGCTCGTAGCTCCGCAGTAACAGGAAGCTTGCCTTCCAAGGCTTTCCCACATCAAGGTACTATAAAAGCTATCTGTTCGGCCTTTGCAGGGGGACGGGTAGGCTTTTCGGTGCATTCCTGGGCTCTTTTTTCGGGTGTATTTTCTTCCGGCCCTTCTAGGCCCCCCTAGGTACTCTTCTGCGGCCCTTTTTGGATGGAATTGCGGACAAGGGCCTGCTTAGGGTACAGGGGTGATAATGCATGGAACGGCCCATAGCCGAACAGCATCTAACCAAACCTCTTTGGAACTCAGACAGCTCCGAAACGAACCGCCTCTGAACGGCAGCCCATTCCAACCAGCTCCTGTGAACCTACCCGAACTTGACCAAGCCGTGGCTTCTCAGCAGTAAGGCCGTCGCCTTCGGTGCTAAAGCTGCCTCGCTCGATCAAATCCACTGCTTGAGGGAAATCCACGCCTGTCACACAGCTAAGCACACTTTGAGAGATGGCATGTACTTCTCATCGCTTGTCTGCACATCGTACAAGCACATCACTTGACTCCGTTTTCATGAGGCGCTTTGCCCATGCTACAGCCAGGAGAAGTCTTGCCTGGGTCTGGTATCACAGAGGACATGAGCGTCACGTTCTTCCGGAAAAACTTGGCAAACTGAAATGTGCCATAAACCTTGGTATCTCCCGGCAAAAGCTCAAAGGACTGCATGAAGTAAAGCGACTAACCGCACTGCTCCGAGGCGAATCGCTCCGCAACCCATTCTGCTGGGAGACGGCATCATCTGGCACCCCGAATGCAACCACGGTGCCTGGGAGCTTTGTAAGAGCTCGGGAATTCGCCACTTAATTTGATTTCATCAGGAGACAGAAGGGCACAGTGACGCTGACCTGACTTGAAGAAAGGGTGCCGCACTTTGCAACCAGCTCCAGTGCATCGTTGATAGTCGCCTGCAAACATATCGTGTAAACTTAATTCACACCCAATGGCTGCTTCTGCGTTCAATTGCTTTTCCCGTGCCTGATTGTGGCCAACCATCTCGAGCACTACATCTGCCCCCCGACCGCCTGTGGCTGCAGCAACGGCTGCAGCTGCGTCCTCCACGGAAACTTCCAAGCCAACAAGGGGATGTCACAAATACCCCATTATTCTGGCAATCAATTGTGTGCAAGGGTTGTTGTCTTGCGCTCAGCCACTGCTGGGCCGCTGCGCCAGACAAGGTTTCGACAACATCAGGCAACAGCAAGCCATGACACACGACTGAAATTCTGCTGTACCGTAGAATGGCGAGCTCATCCTAGACATGTAATATTCGCCCTCAAAAAAATGTCTTGAAACCTTTGGCCGTAGGAGTTTGAAGCATGAATATCATCATTAGGCCTTGAGCTGTCTTTGCCCTTTGTGTGGCCTTGCACGGGCCCCCGTTGCAAAGCATGCTGTTTGAGAACCCCGAATTTCTCAATCGTCGACTAGCTCATATTACACAGGGTGAACACGGGTGACCAAAAAAGGGCGGCCCTCAAACGGTGGCAAAAGCTGCGCGCCTCCGGCGCAACAGCTTTGGTCGCACCGAACTCTTCCTCATCACGCGCACACGTGTGACTCTAGGTCCAGCTGCCCAAGCTAAGTCTGGGATTCATCGAAGAGTTGCTCCAATATGGGCCAAGCGCGAGCATTCAAAACATGAGCCCTGATGTGTTCTCCCCAACTTCAACTGACCTGACTGACAGTGAAGACTCTGGTTTGCTATGTTAGGGATTGCACGACACGCTACGACGACGCGCTGCGGTGCGAAGATATTTTTCTGGATGCTGCGGAGCAGCTGCCAGGCGCCTTCTGAAGGCCAAGGGCTCGACAGCAAAGATATTTCTGGCAGGGCGCTGGCACTGTGCTGGCTACGATGCGTCCCACATTCTGCTTTGTGCAAGAAGGAGCTCATGCTTTGAGGATAAGAGCTGCCAGTCATGTGGAATGACCTTGCGCAGAGCTGCGCAACCAAGCGCGTCGCCATCAGGCCATTTTGGCCTTGCCTAAGTGTAAGTCTCACAACAGCATAAGGCGCAAGGGCGAATGGTTGTGAGGATCTGCAGCCTGTTACCAACTTTCGGGGCGCAAGGAGGTGCACCTCGAAACACACGCAGAAGCTACATGCAATTGTTACATATTGCGCCAAGCTGCCCAAGGATTGCAACAGTCTTGCCAAAGAAAGAGCCCAGTCTCCTCTAGCATTGAGAAGTGCAAAGACACAGCATCAGCAAACCCCGCAAAGGAGTTCACGAATCGGGCTCCTGAACATGCGGAGGAGGGTTCCCAAAGCCTGGGCTGCCAGCATGCGCGGCACGCACTCCTCTGCACCAGGTTGATTCACAGACATGCTGAATGTCTTGTGGTCATGGGCTTCTCTTTTCAAAGCTCAAGCGTGCTGTGGTCCATCCTTGATCTTGTAGGTGCAAAGTTCATGGCTGGTGAAAATCTCCTGAGTTGGGATGCTGCAGGCACGATCACGTCGGCCACATGTGCATTGGAGACACTGTTTGCAGGCTTGCAAGCACAATAGGCACAGGCACGCTGAAGCCCCCTCGCACCGGGAAGTTCTGGAGAAGCACCTTAGAAGGGGAAACACTGCTCTGACAGCGGTGGAAGCTCTCAGCTAAGCCAAGGGGCACTGTGCACTTCTTCCTTGTACCACTCTTGTTGTGTTGCAACATGGGCCTTTAGGATTTGGCTTGAAATTGCAACTTGAAGGATTGAATGCCGCAGTGACAGCACGCTAGGCAAGGCCTTGAAATAGGAGGATGGCAAGGAGAGGACAGAGTCTCCTTTGGCAAACCTTTCGGTGCTGGACTCCAGGACCTCACCGACCACCTCCGGGCAGAGCCGGAATTCCAATTCGCAAAGCTGGTTCTTTACGGCTTGCTCTGCTTGCTCTGCTTGCTCTGCAGCTTTGCTTTAGAGTACAGTGTACAGGGCTGAGGCACAAGCCGCAACTCAGCATGACTGAGGGCAGCAGTACATGCCTCGTGCCCGCAGAAGCCGTCCCGGTCCCAGTAGCAGCTGGGCGCCCGGGAGGCCATGTCTCCTGGACACGGCAGGGTGCGTACAGAATCATTGTATATAATAGTTTCCACTCTATTTTCCATTATCCCAACATAATCCCTATATACTATAGTAGTTTCCATTTTCTTTTCCATTATCCCCATATAAACCCAATGTATAGCTGCAATTTCTAGAACATTCCTTTAGCATCCAAGCGGCGGAAGTATGGAATATCAGACCCACAGAGCGAGGCAAATTTTGCCCGGATCAACAGTGAGCCTCATGAGGAAGGCTGAGCCGCAGTAAGAACGCACGTCCAAAAAAAGGAAACAGCTTGGGCCTGGAGGGCACTCCTCAAGCAAAGGCATCGGGGAATCAACCACCTGAAGTGCCTGCAGGGGCAAACTCTCTGACGAATCCCGGCAAATTTACCCCTCGAGCCTTGGAGGAAAAAAGTCGCGCTGCACAGCACGAGCAGTCGATGTCAGCGCCTTATGACTTTCGCATAATCACGGGCTGGCGCATGGGCCATCTTTCATTGGTTCAAACGTCCACACCCAACGTAGTTGCTAAGCGATGTTTCGCGGCTGCCCAGATGTTATCGGATACACCGAAAGCCTAAGGGTCGGCTCCGGAAACCTTGCCACTCATGCCCAAAGTTGTGGCCCGAAGGTTCTGGGGGCCGAGAAGGGGCCCCGAACGAAAACGAGATAAAACGGCTGTAAAAGGATTCTATTACAAATGAGGCTTGACGTTGGCTGGGCGAGGGTGGCCTTTTGAAATTTTTGTCTCACATGCTGAACCTAGGCTAATATTATTTGGCATCGTCCGCAGAATATTATTGCAAGTGTGGCACGCCTAGGAGAGCATGCTACTCCCGGAGTTTGACCAGCGGTGCTGTCGGGCAGCTGGCGGGCTGTAGTAGCAACTTCGCAAAAAGTGCACTGCGGTGAAAGTTGACCTCAACAGGCAAGTACTCTACGGCCGCCTGGGAAGACGAGCATGGAAATTACCTGAAGTGCATTTTGCTAGCCCAAGTGCTTCAGAGTCGGCTGGATCCACAAACGTAGTCCAAATCATCCTGATGGCAACCGACGGACATGAACTTGCGGCATGGCCGCGTCCTACTCGCAATGCTGGCAAATATATCAGATTGGAGACTTCTTTGCCCCGAGTTCCCTGTAGAGACTCCTAGACCACGCTTTTCTCCCATCATGGTCCGAGCTTCCCCTGGAGCAATGCGCTTGCAGACTCCTGCTTGAGCTGGCCCCCCGCAGGAATGCTTTGAAGAGATCCGTGCTGGGCCCGGTGGAGGCCGACACGGAGCTCCCTTTCGGGATCCTGGGGTCGATTCTAGATACTTCCACCTAGACTTGGCAAACTGTTCGTTTTTCTGACCGAAACATAAGGCTGCCAGGGATCAATCTTCATGGCTCGCCACTGGAACTCAGCAATCACCTTGGCTGGCGTAAGCTAACACCTAAGCCGCATTAAATCCAATGTAGGTGCTACCATGCGGCCACGCGCTTGGCAGGCGCAGGTGCTTCAGCAGTCGGTAGTGGGCTCCTCAGCTTCAAGGCCGCATGCGTGCCACTGCATGCTGCTTAGCCGCTCTGCTTTTGGAGCTTGTCTTTCCTCTGCTTAGGCATGGAACGCAGCGTCACAATGACCCACTGCAAGCTCCGAAGTCCACGCCTGCTTGAGCAGCTCAATCCAAGGCCAGAAGCAAGAAAAACATCGAGACCGTCTCGTGGCCTTCACGGCTCCAGAAGACTCCCAGCAGAAGTCAAAAGGTCCGCCAAATTTGGCACGATTCGTCAATGCCTCACATCCGCAGCACTGGTTGTCACTCAGATGCGCTTCATGCTTTCAAGAGCTTACCTTCCCGTCAAAGTTGATCTCGAAGGCATAGTAGGTCTGACCACTTGGAGACGTCGTACCATCTGAGCCATGGACACAATGAAGTTCTCAAGGGTGCTATTCACTAACCGATGGTGGTGGTAAATGTCCGTGCCTGGCTGCCACAAGAAGCACTCCACACGCTCGTCCAGGAGTACCGAGCGCATCTCTGCTGGGACGCGCCCACCCTGCAAAAAACAACCAGCGTACGCGCCATGAAGCTGTGACGTCCACCACGGTCAGCAAAGAGTGCAGCCCATGTATCCGCGGACCTCAAGCCCTTCGAGCACTGCTGGCTCCACGAAGGCAGCCTGGATTGTAGTTTGGGCTGCATTTTGTCATGGAAGGCAAAAGGCAGCTGTGAGAACTGGTTGATCATTACCTTTCTTAGTAGCCTTATATATCATCGGCTCACCTTCCAACTTACACACTCTGCCGAGGCTCATCAATGGCTGCTTGTGTTGGGCCCTCCAGCTCCCAGCACACGTACAACGCCTGCGACAGAGACAGGGATGGGGGCAAGTCCAACAAACTGAATTCGAGCAAACGTATGCATGCTCACCCCTTTGCACCTGATTGTTCCAGAGCAGCCTGACCACGGTAGAGAAACCCTGCAAAAAGGGGCGCCCAAGATCTGACAGCTGTGCCCTATCGATGCGCAACCCCACCGCTTCAACTTCAAGCTTGCCATGCTGAGTTTGAAGATGCATTGAGATCAAACGTGCGGAAAATGGATCTTTTATTTGTCATGGCCTCTGGGCCAGGCCACTTAGAAGGTCGACCAAGTGTGACGCCTCAGAGGTTGAAGACGCCTTCAGCTGAAATACAAAGCAAAGGCAAAGCACATTTGCACCTTGGGGCGCTGGATTAGACCAGCACACATCCGGAATCAGACTGCATCGGGTTTGGAGCTACCAAATCCCACGACTTCACCAATACTATGCTACAACATAACCTCCCTCCCAGAATGTCATACTTGTCGACAACAAGCAAAACTCCACAAATTTCATCACACTCATTTATGCTTCTGCGTTGCTCGGAGCTCGCGAGAATGCATGGTACCTGAGCTGCTGTTGTTGAAAACCATGCTCGCGCTTTTGCGACACAATTTTTCAAGGAAGAGATAGAAGCAGCTAAACTGTCCCGCGGCCACACTTGACCCAAGCCACGGCGACGGACTCTGGGTGGGATCCGCACTGTGCAGTGCTGACACCTCCCCCCAAGACAAGAAACAAAAAGGCGCCTACAAGCCCCTGTACGAAGGTGAAGCAACAGAACACGCAAACCCTTGCAACAGCTGCCTCGCTGTTGGCTGCTATGGTGCGCTCTAGCCTGTCAAATTCTCACGGCGATTTTGCCTCCTACATAGAAGCCTGACACCAAAGGCCTGCGTCTACTCTGGCAACTTCCGCAGAAGTCTGACGTGAATGAGAAAAACAGACAGCAAAAAGGAGGCATACATTGCAACATGCCAACTTGGAAGTTATGTTGCTTCAACATGACGTGTAACTTAGGTAAGGCAAACGAATCCATACAATTCTGATACGTTCTTGCTTGTGCCCTTCAACTGGGTCTGTTCAAAATGAAGTTGTTTAACTTGGTCTGTTCCTGACTCTTGTACCTCGAGCGCAAGCTGGAAGCCATGGGCCCGCTTCACAGCGCTGCTATTACGAAGTTGCTGCAGCCGCATCCGCTGGCTCGCTAAAATTGTAACAAGCTTTTTAGCAACCAGGGTTTCAACTCTCTTTGCGGAGCCCTTCTGTTTACCTTACTGTGCTTGCATCGACTCACCACCCTTTGCGCTACTTGATTGCTTGATCCTGGACGGCCGCGGTCCTGCTCGGCCCTGCGTCCCTGCTATGGAAACAAAGCGCGAGGAGGGTCATCGCTTGTGGGTCCTTGTCTTAGCGACTTATCAGCCCTGGCAGTAGTATACCTTCAAGAAAACATTCACCATGCCGATTTAAACTGTTTGATGTCTGGATAATGTGGGCCGGTCATATTGTGACAATAGTATGCGCCATCACGACTGCAGAGTCAGCCGCTGCAAGCCCATCTCTTCGTTCTTCACGTCAGGATTCCTAGATGCCTCGGCCACAAACAGGCCTCGTGCTAGACGCATGCCTCGAGCCGCGCAGGACGCCCCGCAGGCCGCGCAGGCCCCGCAGGCCATGCATGGCTGGACTAAGCATGACTGTATATGACTGTGCAGAATGTGCAGATGTTGAAGCCATCACAGGGCCTTGCAGGCACCGAACTTTTGCATAGCCTCTTCGTCAAGCAAGCTGTGAACATAGTAGGCCTGTAGAATCCTCCATGACGCTCCAAAATTAAGAAGCAACTACTGGGTACTACAGGTAAAGGTCCATGATCAGGACTTGCGTAAGGCCACGCTGGATCCTTGTGCCAAGAAGCAGAACAAAGCTCATGTCTAGCAAAGCCTTGCAAATCACTCTTATGCGATCAGATCCTGGCGGCATGCCTGCTCTTCAATCTCCATGCTAGTGGCAGATCGCTTTTTCGCTGGCTGAGGCACTCGTCAGGCAGAGCCGTGTGGTTGCCAGTGAGTCACGCAGAGCCATCGACTGAATGGCTAAAGTAAACAAAAGAAAAGATTATCAGATTCTGACAGCCGAGTTTTGCAGAATTCTGTTGATGTGTCGACCATGGCACTTCGGGGCATGGCATGAGGGACGGCCAAATTTAGACCGTCAAGGAAACACTCTCTCTCCGCAAGCGTATGCTGTATCAAGCAATCAAACGCAGGACTGGATGCCGGTAAGCTCCTCACTGAGCTCCCAAAGCCTCCGGCTGGCACACAAGTCATAGCAGATCTGGACTCGAGAACGTGCTGTGCGGTAACAGCTGCGTTTGGTTGTCGCAACAAGAAGAGGGGCTGGATGTTGCAATGCCCATGGAAAACAATATAGTCATAAGAAAGTGACTGCTGATCGAGCAAGGCTGAGCACAAGCCAGCTCAGAGCCCTTGTAACACCCTCACTTGGATTACACACTGTTGCTCGAACGTGCTGGACTGCTGTGCTGCTTACCCAGAATTGTGAGTGCAACGCCACGTTAAGAAGCCACACGGCCTCTGCGAGTTGTGGCTATCTTGTGCAACCTGCGCTCAGAAAGGCAATGCACAGGCAAAGACCACAGAACACAAGGTGAGGAAGGTTGCATTGCAGTTTTGCCTTTCAGCTGACACTGCTTGTTTGATGCATGCAAACGAGCTCATCGTGCCGCAGTCTATCACGAGGGCATGTTCAAAGCAAATGATGCCTGCTGGAATGTGATACCAGCAAACTTGGCAAGGGCGGAAGGAATCAACGGTCTGCCCTCAAACATTGTGCTTTGCACACGCGTTCTTCCGCCCTGGCCTAAGCTAGTTGACCCTTAGGGTCTCTAAGAACTTGTAGCTAGCCATCCCGTTGCAATCGCTCGCCAAGGAACTTTGCTGGCCAACATTTACTAGTGGATTCTTCCTTCTCACGGCGCGCCGCTCAAAAGGATGCAGGTCTTCGAGGTTGGAGGGTGACCCCCTCCGCCTAGATGGTGACACATGTGTTCCAGGTCACGTTAGTGACGCAACTCAGTAGCCAAAGGTTGTGTAATGCCCACCGTACCTCGGGTTGCAACTTCTAAAGCTATGCCTGGATGCATCTTGGGCTAACATTTGCAAAGTCTTTGAAGCAGATCTTCCCATGTTCGCTCCCGTCTGTCCAGCACTGTACTGTGTGAGGGTCCAAACGGCAGTGCAGCATCTTGCAGCCTTGCTCTCCTTTTGCTTTCTCCTTTCCGTCCCTTGCTGGTGTGAATGCGACAGGTGCGGATCTCATCGTGACCACCTGTACACATGAACACAAGGACCTGGTCTGTTAGTGTGACTGTGTTCTTTATTGTGCTGGTATTGCTGTGTTTCTGCACAGCAGTGACACGGCTGGAATTGATGCAGATAATGTACTTGGATGGTCAACATGTTCCAGTCACACAGCAAGAATAGGCAATTCTGTCTCAATTTTTGTACAAGAGTCGCGCCAGGACCGGGCGTCTCTGTCTCCTGGTCGACGAGCAGGCACGAAAGAGGTGGCAGGCGAAAGCGCGATTTGACTAGCAGATCAAGGCAGCCATCGAGTGGTGATGGGAACTACATATGCTGTCGGTACTCCATTCCTCATGTAACCATTCCGCGTTACCCTGCCCTATCCTAAAGGTGCTGACTCGCCTTCAGAAATTTAGAGATGGCGCATACATCGTCAGGCAACCCAGCTCCGGGGGCTCCGGCATGCTCCGGCCAGAAATTGGATAAGTGGAGACTTGTCTTGCCAACTGAAGCCAACACAGCAGTCTACAGAAGTGGACTTAGCCTAACAGCATGGATGCGAGGATAGCAGGTGTTATAATAGAAGCTTGAAGAAACTGAGGATCCAAGCATGCTGGCGCAACTTATGGCTTCCTGAGCTTACTCAATCAAACGAAGATGTTTCCAATCTCTTTGCCACCTAACCGGGGATGCATGCTTCTCGGTCAGGAGCTCTTGGACCTCGTTTTGCCAGAGGCCCAGTACAGAAGCACGGTTCGGTGAAAGTGTTGCAAATCTGCTACTGCTTGCTCAGATTATGTCATTTGGCTTCCAGATGTTGTGGTCTGCGCAACTTCTTGTTCAAGCACATACACATGTGCTGCGGGTATGAGATCTAGGTTTGCTGTTGCCAAAGGTCCATGCATGAAGATTCTTGATGAGCCCGCGACGTCCCACCATCCCTACTGCAACTCATGCACAGCAGCTCTTCTGTGCCACCCCAAGCGCCATGGCAAGTCGCGTCGACGTCCGTTAGTATTTACAAATACTAGTTGCATCATATCCGCCCTGAAGCCCCGTGGGCTGGATGGCTTGAATATCAGATGCGTTTCAAAACGCTGCTGTGCTAAGTCTTGTAGAGTGATGCGCTACTGCAACTACAGAACTATCGAGATGCGGAAGTACCACACCCTCACGCTAGAGGACATGAACTTCGTCTTCGTCAACAGCACGTGGTGGTTCACACGAGCTTTCTCAAGTATCACGGCGCGTTACAGTTCCGCGGTGCTCTCAGACACAACGCCATAGAGTTCGCTCAGGCTGAGCAGTGGGACGACTCGGAACAGGTCCAGTCGGTACAGTACAGCTGTGTGGCTTTCTTGTACAGTTGCTCGTCGAATGTGACGGCAGCCGCCTTGTTGGTATGTGTCGGCGCATTCTAGCTAACTGCCCTACTTTGGGGGAGGTGGTGATCAACTCGGAGGCAAAAAGCTCAAATACCTGGGAGAATGCATGCTACGAAGGCCGTGCCCCTTTTAACTTGCGTGGTATGCAACAATATAAGCTACGTCAAACAAAGCCCTCGATTAATCTTGTTTATCGTCAGCTAGCAGGACACCATGCACAGCAGCAAGACCAGACCGGATCATGCCAGATTCGCATGACTGTACGTAAGACAAGCAAAGCTAGGGTTTTACATCATGGACAGACGCCTGTGACTTATGCCTGGGGGGCACCAGCGTTCCTGCAGTAGTCCTCGCAATCCAAAGCTCAACTTACATCATCTCAATTCAACGAGGTTTGGCTAAAACGCTTGTCTTGGATGATGGTCTTTGCCAGGATGAGCGGAAAACCTAGATCTGGCATTCTTTGTGCAGCATCTTCCTAACGATTTTTAGTGACTCAGTTTTGCCCGCTGTGTGCCTGTACAGTCTCTGGCAATCCTCCTTTGCTTCTTTTCGGGGTCAGGGCAGACAGTGAGGCAGGCTGAGGGACTGTCAGAACCTGGGCTGGGGCTGGGGCACTGGGCGGGAGGGGCTCCTAACTTCGACGTAATAGAAAACCCTTCTCATGGAGTTGTGTAATGGGAAGCCCTCAACTTGAAAAGAAAGGTTTAAGTTGCGTGTTTTTTTTTTTTTGTGGCCCGGCTCATGCTTCTATTTGTCAAGCTAGTTTGTTTTTCTCGTGAATGGCGTGTGCTTTTCCAACTTCAGAATTTGTGCTTTGTTTGTGGTTTGTGACTTGCGCCGTCTAAGTTTCAACGTTGTTTCTTGAACATGATTCCAGGTTTTGTTGTTGTTGGTGGTGTCGCTTGTGCTTTTCACATCTCAAGTGTGTGCTTGTTTCTGTGCCTTGGCTTGCGCTTATCCCTGATCTTGCTTTAGAAATGGATTTCAAGTGCAGTTTGTTGTGCTCTCTCTGGCGCTGCTTTTGGAAACAAGCTTCAAGTTGTGTTTTCGTGCTGTACCTTGATTTCAAGTTGCATATCTTTTGTGCTCTTAGTGACAATCCTGGAAGTTCCAGCTGCGTGTTTTTGATTTGCCCTAGTCCTGGAGAAGAAATGGTTGTCTTTCGGGCGTGTTGCCTCATCCCTGCAGGTAAGGGAGGACAACCAACATCTAGAACAGATGATTTCAAATCGGAGCTGCCTCCAGAAGGGAGGATTTCAAAGTTCAAGGGTCTGCTTTCTGAGAACGGTAGCCGCAAGATAACTGTGCTTCTTGGGGAAGGCTAGTGTCTCCAATTATGCTCCCAATCGCTCGAGCTGCTTCAAGACAGTCCTTTCGTGGCTTCGATGCCACGAGGTTCCGGCCGGCAGACCCGAAGCTGAACTTTGGAGGTCGCTGGAAGGTCCTAAAAATCGAGCAGGTCTCAATTTTGGCACACTCAGCAGCAGTGGCAGGCCGAAAGTGTCACAGCGTGGCATCTACGCTAGCCGTACGCTAGCCGAAAAGTCTCTAGTTACCGCCGTTGGTGCATCCCAGCTGCTTTGCTGCGGTTTCTGCAGACGACACCTGTCAAAACTGTTCTGCTTCCATGGATACTCCAAGTCTGCACAGTGCATGACTTCATTACGGTGTTTGGCACGGCGGTCAATGAAGCAAAGCAAACCACATCGAGGGCGCGGTTGAGGGCACCTCGTAGGTGCCAGGCCCGGGCCTCAGATGGAAACTCCAAGGTTGGACAGGAATGGACAGGAATGGATGGTTTGGTGGATAGGTGGATGGTTGGATGTTTGGACGGTTTGGGAGCAAATGCAACGGAGCCACACCGGCCGCAAGAGCCGATCCGAACCGCGCTCGGTGAACGACCACTTTGGGGCCTGGCAGCAAATTGCATCTGACACGTACAAAGCCATAAGGCAAGACATCGCAAGCGCTTACGCCGCAATTTCGGCACTGGTCTGCACATCTGCCCGCCTTCCTGTGGTGTGACAGGCAAGTAGTCAACGGGTGACCGACACCTCACGCAAAGCGCAAAGACGCCAACATGCTGCCCTCAGGGCCCCGCACTTCATGTGCTTTGTCTGCATGCTGCCGAGCATCGCTGCAGCTTACCCGGAAGGATGAGGGCAGCTGAGTCCACAGATTCCTGCATGAGGTTTGTGCACTTCCGAGTCTTCTGCTCTGCACATGCGCAAGTTGCCAGTGTTGCACTACAAATTGTCCATGTCAGCGCGTCAATTGGTAGGCGACTTCACCTGGAAATTGATGGAAGCTCCAGCCCCTCTTCTGCCTGCGATAGCCGAGGCGACGAGACAGCGGCCTGGGTCATGAAGAACAACAAGATTGTGCAAAGAATGGGCAGGCATTATCACCGGAAACATCGCATGCACGCTGCTATGTGCTCACTTTACATCAGCTTGACGGCCAGCGACCTTAAAGTCCAACGAGCTCGTCTGGTGAAGCTGGGCGAATGTCGCCGCTGCCTGCAAGGAAAACTGTAGCTCGTTTCAACTAGCTGTCTCAAGTAACATCCTGCTCACTACAGCTACAGTTGAGATCAGTTGAGCCAGGCACTCCTACCTTCACCTTGAACACTCCATCCATGTCTGGTTGGCTGATGTGCATATGCTGTGTCCCTCCCAGCCGCCTTGGCTTTGCTGGCTGCTGGGCCAAAGCTCGCGAATATGCCACTCTCCATGGCAGATTGAATGTTAATGATCCTGTTTGAATTGGAGATGGGCTTCAATTGCTTGGTCGTGCAGCATCCTGATTCTTCACATTGTGCTGACTGAAGCCGTTGCTTTGAGGGAAATGACCGCGATGCAGTGTTGGTGAGACCTGCCCGGACATTTCATAAGTTACTTGCTATTTCTGATGAAGTTATGTCAGAGCCAGACCATGGGCTTCTGACATGAGCTGATTACAGCTGATCTCACTCATTATTCGGGGTAGGGGTCTGCGTGTGTGGCCATTTGTGGCGGGATCGCCATGGGTTACGTATGGGATTGGGAAAATGTATCGCGTCATGAAGATGCTCGTATTCGATGCTGCCATTAGGTCGCTGAGCCTCTAAGCCGAAGGTGCGCCTGAAAGAAAAAGAAAAAGGGAATTTCATGCTTGCGGCGTGTGAGCTTTGAAGGAGAGCTGCTGCTTGTTTTCGCGAACTCGCAGTGCCCTGCCCAAACGGAGATGCAAATGGGTAGTGAAGCAGGCTGTGCACACTGCTCCTGCATACTCACGCATCCCGAGGGTTCAAGGTTGAGTTCTTGAGTTCTTGAGCGCTTTGCCGCTGAAAGTCAACGAGCTCTGCAGCTGCTTCTCAGCTAGCCAGAAGCTCAATGCCAACCCATGACGTCAGCAATGCAGGTCGCTTTAAAGCGATCTGCATGAGCTTTGTCAAATGAAATTCTGCAAAATGTCCTGACACCCGAGCGTCAAGGAAGAAAGCTAGGCAAAACCCATCTCACAGCTTCTTAAGATTCCAGTGCACGAGGAACATGGAGAAGCACTCTCCGAGGATGCCACCAAGTGAAGGAGCTGACAAGGGGCAGGAAGCTGCTGACAAAAACAAATGTTCAACCTTGCCACCCAAAACCTACTCATGCACCTCCCAACACCCTCTGGTTTCAATTGATCCTAGACAAACGGCTCAGCTCATCCAGTCCGTCTACGCCCCAGCCTTTCTCTGGAGTGGACAACTTTGGCGGAGGCGAAGTGCACTTAGCCTCTGCATCCTCAAGAAACATGCTTTGTCTAAATGTCATGCATCTTATCAAAACGGGGGGGGCGCAAGCAAGTTGCCCTCAACGCGGCGCGTTGGATAGGAAGGGAAAGTTCTTTTTTCGTGAATCCACTTCAATCTAAACCATTGGTGATAGGCCTAGAATGGGGGGTATTTCTCCGAGGCCTGCAACCCACCAGCGCAAACTGTGACTATCGTACCTAGGAGAGGGTCACGGCAAGATGAGGTGCCACATCGGGGCTCTCATACAGCTTCGGGTTGCTAGCAAGAACTGATGATGATCAGACCGGCCAACGGTTGCCGTAACCCTGAGTCAGCTGTCGCTGAGCACTGAACAAAACCTCGGCGCAGGAAACTTCAGCCGTCTGGGCGGCTGACGTCATTGAGTGTGTTCTTGAGGTCCTGCTAGCCATGTAGCTGCCTACAAGTTACATTAGCTGCTCTGCTTGCTAACGTTCACTGCAGCAATGTCTTCGGCATGGAGCACAAGTACATCCCAAAGCGGGGAGGTCCAGCACATAACGGAGGCCCTGATCGTTGCTTGAGTCCAGCTCTTCGTAGATCTTGCTTAGCTCCCAGACGGGGCAAATCCTTGCAGACAAGATATCAACATCCACTGAACTGCAACGCTTTTGCTGAAGCATTTTCTCGCTTTCCAGACAAGATCTTGCAGCTTCCGTCAGGACTTCTGAAAGACAGACAATGCTTACTGTACTGCAGTGTGCGCCTTTTCCATGTTCAAGACTTCCCTTGCAGGACTTACATCCCGAAGCAAGGAATAGTTTGGCTTTTGCAGCGCCATTTGCGCGCAGCCTCACGGGCCCTGCGTTTGGTGACATTACATCCATTCCCCAGAAGTTCATGTTCGAAAACATACGGGTACCAAAGCATCAACGCCAAAACCACAATAACATTCGTCTTCGAGATCATCTGAGTACCAGAGCATTCATGCCCAAACCATGATTACGTTCGTCTTCGAGATTATCTGAGTACCAGAGCACCCGTGCCGAATCCATACTTGGGTTCATGTGCCAGAACTATCCATGCCCTAACGTTCATGTTCGAGAGCATCGGAAAACCAAAACATGCATGCCCAAACCATAGCAAGGCTTGTGTTCATAGCAGCCATGCATATCCATGCTTAACCCATGATAACGTTCATGTTCCAGAGCACCAAAGCACCCATGCACAACCAGAATAACGTTCATCTTCGAGAACATTCGATTACCAGAGCACCCGCTCCGAAAGCAAAATAACGTTAATGTTCGAGAACATTCGAGTATCAGAGCATCCGTGGCGAATAAAATCCGATCACCAGAGCAGAATTGCCGAAACCAAAATAACGAGTACCACTGTACCACAGCATCCATGCCCAACCCATGATACTATTCACATGCGAGAGCATCCGAGTACCGGAGCATCCATGCCTAAACCATAGACATTTGACGCGTCACGCAACTTTTGCAGAAGTAGGCGCTTCCTGATGACCTGTTCTGCCACAGCGCGAAGCCTGCTTTCTTCAACAATCCGCCGCCCTGCGGTTTTTGTACTGTTGAAATCCTGTTTGCCTACTCCAACTGTGCTCGAAACCCGCGTTCTGATCATGTCCCTGCTCAAAGCTAGCAGCTAGCAAAGCTCCGCGCACGATAGGCAACGATTGTCAAGATAGGCATCCGGCTGAGAGCAACCAATTTTGCGCAACCGGCCACACTAACATTCGCTGCATCATCACATCCAAAGTTGCCTCTTCAAATGCAAAAGGACCCAACAAATTGGGTGCACAGGGAGGGCGCCTGCCTGTGGGTGTGCGTTTTTGGGCTGACGACTGAAGACGGGGCCTGGCATGACGTTCTGCCGCAAATTCCAGCGACGCCACCTAGCTCCCTCTTACACCTCAGAAGCTAATGACGCCACATTCTCGCGGCATCCTGGTGAGCACAAAGATCGGCACGAGTTTGCACTGTAACATTTCCTAAGAAAACTGCTTGTACAGCAACACTACCTACCACCCCCCATCTCCTGCCAAAAAGCCTTGAGTCCCCGCAAAAACCCCTTGTAAAGTGACAGGTGTGTCTACTACTACCGGCTCCCACATCCTGCCTAGACGCGTACAGGAATGTCCTAGTGTGACACCCCCACTCAAATTGTCCTATAGTGTTGGGAAGGCATGGTTTGGTAGGACAAAGTTTTTTTAAATGAGAGTTCGTGGTTCAGGTCATTTGCGGACACGCTTTTTGATGCGTAATTGCCATCTGAATATGCGACAGCATCTAGGCATCAGTTTTTGATATCATTTTTCTTGACAGACTCCGTCAATTGCAGCGTCTTCGCCCGACCTTTCTTTGGGTGTCTTCGCTCCAAAGGGCGCCCTTCCCCGGTATGTCTTCGGGAAGTGTCGTCGCACGCCCAGGTAGCTTCACTCCGGGAAGCGTCTTGGCCAGGGCAGAGTTCTCAGGAAGTGTCTTCGGACACTCATGTTTATTCGATCCGAGATAAGTGTCTTCGCTGGGAATGTGTCTTCAGAAGCTCTTCAGGCGCTCACATCTCTTCGCTGTCTTCGCCTAGCATGTGCCTGCTGATGCCCAGGTGTCTGCGCAGACCGTTCTTCAGAGCCTCCGTCCTAGTCCCGCTTTGTCTTCAACATGTGTCTTCAGTCTTCAAACCAAATCTGCACCCCCTCCAGGCGACCACAGTGGAAGCGAGAATGCAATGGAAGCTTATGCTGCCATGCTCAAAGCAGCTCATGTAGCAGGTGCTCGCACAGGCCCACTTAAGGGCAGGTCCCAGTGACAAATTTTGTTGAGCTGACACTCACAAGGCGCCCGTCTGGCGATCATCACGGTCTGACACCCGCAAAGAAAGCGATACAAAATGATACAAATAGATTCGTACGTCCCCACAAGCTAACCACAGGGGAGAGGGCCCAGCCATCCCCACAAATACATGATGGAAGCCTCGTCAACTAGCCATCCAGATTTGAAAGCTGGCATGTGCCTCATCCTCCGCCAGAAGCCATGCTGTGTGTACGCGAGCCTGGTACACCTAAACACTAAGCAAGAACGCATGATCTCTGAATCAACCTATTATTCACTGATCCAAGCGATGCAGAAGCAATGGCAAGCCAGCTTGTCTCGAGTAAATCCCAGGAAACTCAAAAAATCTGAAACAGCAGCCAACCGTGCAGCACGCCCTCACTGAAAGAACTGACCGTCTGGCACTATTATAAGATCTGATGCAGGCGGGAGCTTGTGTGCAGGCTTCTCTTGTTGGGTGTCGCTGATGGGTCAAGTCCCACAAACGACATTCCAGAATCAAGTGCATCCCTGTTCTGCTTGTAGCCAAGATTCTTGTGATCTAGCACAATGTTGTGCTTAGCGCACAGGTCGACGACTTCCTGCGCTGAACTGCAGCTTCCTACTCGCCCTGCCACGTACCACCAGGTGCGCCTGGCTTCTACTGCAGAGTGAAAGAATGATCGTGGCAGCTTCATGGCATGCTGGTCACCACTGTCAAGCTGCGTGGCAGTTTACCTAGCCTGCTTGGTTCCACGACTGCTCCATGTCCACAGTCCTGCGTAGATTGGATGCCGCCGATCATCGAAGCTGCCAGGGTTTTCAGCTTGAATTGTTGCATGATGGGCGACGACATGGAGCACTAAAGACATCTTTGCGAAAACGTGTGACTTTTGCGACTGATCACATGACAGGACAACCTCCAGACGATTGCGGCTACGAGACGGATGCAAGCATTTTGTTAGTAGCGACAGCAAAAGCATAAGCGACAACTTTCCTAAAACGGGTGCCGTGGAAGGTTTTGCATCGAATTGTATACGCTTCATTCCGTGACCTGAGTTGAGGGCACACTGAATAAAAGAGCCCCCTCCACAAGCAGCTTCATCAGGTAGAATCTTCCAGATTTGTGAGCATATGGGCGCCTGACATGGTGCACCTGCCACCAGAAAGCCCATCCATCATCAGCGCACCGCCAAAAGCATTAGAGATGCCAATGAGGACCTTTGCAGGTCAGAAGCTCGCGGGCACTGGGTGTGCGTTGAACTTCTGAATGCTGTGGGAAGGTACACACTTGCCACCAGCAGCAGCCAGCTTCTGGTACATAGTGTAATCCTTGTGGCAGATGGACTATAGCCTACAGCACTGAAATGCAGATGCCGTCTACATAGCTGCTAGGAAGGCGCATGCTCGGTCGGGATGGTGTCCAGTACGAGGTCAAAGGTGCCCGCCGCTGCTGCCATCTGTTCTGGAGATGTAGAGGACAGGAAGCCTCGTAAGAGCTGATCCCCGTGCTTTTGCACTGATACAGAAGCCAATGGTTCTGCGGAAGCAAGGGTGAAAGCTTCGACGGGCAATTTTTGGATGTTTTTTGGTTTGGAACCATTTCCCATCACTTCTGCTGTGTAGGGCAGATCGAACTATAGCCCTTTAAGCTTCCTGCGCATCTTAGCATCGGGAGCGTCTTACATACGTCCAACACGCCGTTATTCGGATCAAACTCGAACTGCCAGATCCACTCTACATCACTCTACAACAACCTATCACGCGTGGAGACCAGGCATGCCGCGACTACATCAGTGCATCTGGCCGCCATCAGCGCCGCTCTTCTCTGCCAGCGGCTTCTTCTTGTCCCCACGAGAAATGGCTGTCACGTTACAGCCCATGGCCTGCGAGCATATGCACCAAAACCAAGACAGTGAGGACTACTTACAGTCTTTACACGCCCAAAAGGTGACATGCCTTGGCGATTTTGATGCCTGTCCTGAGCTCCGAAAAGCAATTGAGAATGTACGGCGGCCTATTTCCTGGCGCTCCTCTCACAGCTCAAAAGCAAAATCCAAGTGTCATGCCCAGACCTCCCAAGCCCACGATTGCCACCTCAGCTCGCTCATGAAGCTGAGACTCGGCCCTTGACATGCTTGGACTCAGGAAATCGGAAGCCGCCTTGCTGGATGGGCCAGCCTTCCAAAGGCGCAATGGCTCGTACCTGGGCCAGAATTCGAGGCGCGCTGTGGGCGCGGCAACCAGAACTATTTGCACTGACCACACTCTGTTGCGGCTGAGTTACATCGTCACGCCTGCGCACATAACTGGCCCAGCGCTTGCCATTGGATAGTTCTTCGGGATAAGTATCGCGAAGTGCTCATGCACCTCAGCACGTAGCAAGCCAAGGATTCTTTCTGATCCGGACAGGAACTGTCACCCGGCTTTCAATATGAATTCCATCTAGATTTGGTGACTGCACTCAAGGATGCTGCTTGCACATCCTCCTGTGCATGGCAGGCACCACCATCTTGGTGCAGTAGCCGCCCATGGTAACGCCGCCCGCTGGATAAGTGGCAGCGCGTCCATGGAGGTCCTTCACAGAAGCTCCAGTGCCTTCAAAGGCATCCGCTCCCTCTGCAAACGCCACATGTGTCCACGTCAAACCTCACTAGCACGCTTTGACAGACACACAACAAGCAAAGCATGGAAAGGCTCGATCATAGATTGCTTACCTGAGTGCTTTTCTAAGTGGTGATTCACTTGAGCTGGCTGTGACACATACCACACTCAGGGCTGCAGGCTCAACCGCAAATGTGCGCTTTCTTCTTCTTCTTCTTCCAACGGCTAAAGGGTGTCCTACGACACCCTCGAAGGACACCCCCAAGCCGCAGGGTCGGGACCCAGGAGGCGACATCCACATTCCCAGCCAGGCGTGCTCACAGCTCTCAAGTCCAATGGACACGACCCCCTCCTACAGCTGCACACCCTGTCCAGGAAGGTTTCTGTCCTACTCAACGTGGCACTTGCTGCTGCCACGGATCCACGGGAACCACCATGTGCGCTCTCTTTCATTCTTTCTTTCATTCGGGCTCTGGGAAGACCCTGGTTGGGTCCTCCCGTGCATCCTGCCCAGCCCCTGTAGGGCCGAACTGTTGGTGAAATAAACTCCTCAGGGAGAAAAGTGGCCATGTTGTTAGGGAGGAAACAAAGTAAACTAGGGACTCAGCCACTTTTCTCATACACATGGTAGGTATCACCATGTTTGCCGCCTAGTTCCTTTCTTTCTTTCTTTCGTTCAGGCTAGTTCCTCTTTCTTTCTTTCTTTCTTTCATTCAGGCTATGAAGGGAGGGAAGCTTCCCCCCCCCGGGCGTCTCTGCCCAGCCCGTGTTGGGCTGATCTGTTGGCTTACCTCTCGGTGTTCCAGCCTGCTGGGATTTTCGGGGATTATACCGGGGGCCACTAACATCTAGATTGTGAGATAATTTCCCAGGCTTGTGGAACAGCAGCACAGAAGGTTTCTCTGTGTTGCCAAAGTCTTGACTCCCATGCTTCGATCTGTTTGAGGGGGTGACTGCAAACAAACAGCTTGTGTAGGAAAGAGTATCCCTTGGTATAGTTGCCTGCTTCCTCTCTCTCTCTCTCTCTTCCTCTCTGGCTCCCTTTTGCTTTGCTTTGCTTACATGGATGGTGGGTGGTTCCCACCAGCCCTGAGGCCCCCCGGTTCGGTTTGGTCAGGCTTGGTTCTGGTGTGAAACTGTGCTGTTTCTGACCCGCGAACGAGATGTTGACAAAGAGGATAGCAAACAAAACACAAACCAAATAATGACAGAACAACAGATGGCTAGAACTGCAAAAAGTGTGGTTGGCTCAGTTCAGCACTATCAGCCTTTTGAATGTCCAAAATGGCCCAGGGTTCCAGTGGCTTCAAACTTGACAACACAACACACCTTACGCATCCAGCCCCAAATGAGTTCGCTAATCCACTGGTTCCCGTAAAGGCTGTCGTTCGCGATAGGTTCATGACGACACTACGAGGCACACCGGGTGTGATAGGTTTCCCCATGGAAGCAATTGTCAGCGGTTGCAATCGGTAGACAACAAACAACCACCAATCAAACACCATGGCTCCCTCTGCCTCTCTCTCTCTCTCTCACGCACGCTTCCGTCGGCAGTCCTTCCCCTGGTAGGTAGCTGTGTTTTGCTTGCGGCACCTCTGCAAGCAAGGGAAATTCTGACGAGCACCATCGATTGCCGTGAAGGTTGCAGAGCTAAACTGCAAGTCCATATGCAGGAGTCAAGGCACAGGTTCTCGTTGCCCTGCTTGCATCCACTGCATTTCATGCAAGAGTCCACCATGCAACCAACACCCACGTGATCACCTGCAACATGTGGACATTTCGCCTACGCGCTCTTTCCAATCCTGTGGTCCTGCTTCCTTGCACATACGCTGCGACAATTATTGGCTGGCAAGAGAGATGCAAGTACCAGCCAGATGTTCGCATACAGACTAATCATAGAGACTAAAGCAAGCCCTACAACTGCAGCCCAAGTCGCCAACTTTGACCTTGGTTACCTTCGAGCCGACTGCGGTGCACCTGGGCTGTGCCATGAGCTCAAAAGCAACAGAAACACCAGATCTTGCTTTGACAAGCCTGGTGGACTCCTTTCGGTTGACCATGCAAATGTCTTTCTGCTCGATCCCAGTATATATGCATCACATGGTCTCTGTGTGTATTTACAGGAATCAATAACCTACCACAGCAACCGCCAGTCAAGCTTATGACCGAGCTTGCGGCATGGTGATAAAAACTTTCAGAATCAAGTACACTCTCTGATTCAGATTCATGAGCTGTTCCACTAAAGCCCATCTTTGAAGCCAAGTAGCACGCCTACCAGCTCGTGTCCAGGGACGCAAGGGTACACTGTGGGCAGAATGCCTGTTGAGATGAAACACTCGAGGACACTGGCTAGGAGGAGAATGTGATAAGGTGTGTAAGTTAGGTGCCCCGCCTGCCATGTGATTTGCTGCAAAGTGCAGGTCCGTGTGGCAAACTCCGCCTCAGAAGGCATTCGAATGGCATGTGCGGTCCTCTTACCAACAGACTCTGACTGACACCCTGCACATGTTAGCCTGAGATGTGTGACAGAGAGCCGATCGTCTTCACTGTTTCCTAGTTTTGCTGACCATGGAGAACAACGAAATCTCTCGACCAAGCCACAGTACACCATGTCGATGAGCACATCTTCGTCTCCAACCGGGCGCCTTTGCATCTTCATCGGCTTGAAATCGCAAGATGGGTCCTTGCACGCCATGACCATCATGTCCACAGGCTCAGCCATGGCTTCTTGAAGGCCGGAAGGAACTGATCTCTTGATCTTTGGCAATGCAACCTCAACGCTTGAGCCGCAAAGCCGCATATAAAGGACTGCTTGGCCAAAGGCCAGATAGCTCGAGGCAAGGCATGCTAAAGAGTAAGATCATCGGACCAAAGGATGGTATCACCTCAAGCAACAGAGAGCACGCTGCTGGCCTCAGGGGCTCTGGCAGGCAGACAGCGCATGAAATACCTTGGCACGCAGGGGTGCAACAGTTGCAGAAGCAATAGCAAAGCATGCGGCACGCCTGGATTCGTGGAGGTACACGTACGTGCATGAAGCGGCTATGCACAGGCAGGTACAACTTGAAGCTTTCTTTTGCTGGGGACAATTTCTTGTGCTCCTCCAAAATTATCCCTGATGCCTGCATCACCGCCTTATGCCACGCACATCGCGATTCACTGCGCTTTTGCCACTTAGCGCAGCAGGCTGAATGATGCTGCAGATCAGCCAATAACCAATCAGGTTTGGAGATGCAGGTGAATCTTGAAGGCACGGGACCATACCATGACCCTCCGACTAGCTGCGACTGAGATCCGGGCTCTCCTGACACCTTTACGTCAGGTGAGGCAGCCACGAAGGTCGTACAAACCTTGCCAAGAACGCAGCTCGAGCAAAGGCTGGGCTCCATCAGATCACGTAGCTCACGTCAGCCTCCAGCTGACAGGCGCATGGAACACACTTACCAAGCTACAGCGTTCCCCCCCTTTCTCCACCGTTTTCCGATGTTCTAAGGTTTCAAGTGTCACGTCCGCTGCAACCCCTCACGCCAGGGTGCTGCAGATCCCAATGTTCCCGCAGCCGCATAATTACGAGTTTTTCAGACCTCTACTAATCCATTTTGTTTATACCTGGCAACCACTCGCCGGTTTTGGCAAGGGCTTCCTGCAAGCTTAAGCCGTGAATCATCGCGTCCAGGTGATGTGGGCTTCCGGTGCTTTTCATGCGGCGCCAAATGACTTGTGAATTAGAAGTCGATCGGTTTCAAGTTGCATGCAGTTGCATGCATACCGTCCCTGAGCCGTTTCCGACCTCTTGGGCACCAAGCCGTCTCCGTGACACTCTATGATTGGCAGAACGGCAGAACGTACCAGGCTCCCGTGCCGAACACTGATCTACTTGCCCCTGAACCCCATGGAACTGCAACACTTCCAACATTACATTCCGAACAACGGAGCGTCAACGCGGGAGATTGGGGCGTTCCACACGTCAACCACACTAAAGACACGGCGGCCAGGCCAAAAGGTAATCCATCTAGGTTTACCACATGAACCTCGTTTTTTGTCAGCATGGCCGGACACTTTCTCAGTTTCCGGCTGCACCCATTCGTGGAGTTTTAAAGAAGAGTTGGGCTACCGGCTGCAGCGCTGTGTAAAGCCTCAGCTGGAAGATGCCAAACGCCCTACCTATACTGCTGGCAGCAATCTGCTCAACTTTTCCAGTCCCTGCAGACCTAGAAAGCGGCATGTGTTAGTGGAGGAATTTGGTACAGTGCTGTAAATTCATCTGCATCAGCAATTACCCTACAACATTTGGATGTGGATGGCGCTCATCAAGGCCACTGGATCTCTGAGCTTCGGGCGCTAGCAGAACGGGATGAAAATCGTTAAACACCTGGCAAACATCAGTACTGCGCTCAAGTTGTCCCCGGCCGTTTCAGCAAGTCTGTCTTCCTCTGCCACAGCTGCCCGGCACACCTCCTACCGATTCTGAAAAACTATTTTCTCTATCTTTGCTGCATCAGTAACTTCTGCCTTCATTGGGTGGATGGCTCACACCCCTCTCGGTCTTTTTTCGTTGATTGGCTAACGGCAATTGCCATGTCTGTGTTAGGCTGACCGAGTTGTGGCATAGGCAATTGCAAAAGATTTGGCTGACATACACTTTTCTTCTACAAACTCCGCCCGGGGCACCTTGGCTACTCTGTCAAGGACTAGGATGCTAGCCAATGTTCCCCTGCTCCCCCTGTCAGGTAAACCCTAGAGCAACACTTTGGTTGGACAGTGCTTGTTCTCTCCCCTACACAAGCTGGAGGAGAGTTAGTTGTGGCATCTGTCACCGTTTTCCTGACAGTCGAATTACTCCACTGGAACAGAAAATTGTTCCCTTTCACGTTTCTTGCTTGTGCGAGCCCATTCTTCCTCTACTGCACGTGCCCTCTTGAAAACGGTACTATGAAGCTGTTAAAGCACTCACCAAAATCACGCAAATAGCGCTCCTTGTGATCCACCTGAGGCCTGCGATTCTTCCTTTCCGTAAGATTCACATGTCCTGTCCTGGTATGCCTAGTCAAGGTATGATCGTCACTGTCAGGAACCCAACCGTCAGCATGATAGTCATGGACTTGAAAGTAGGTGCTTTCCTGGTGGGCGCGCTCTTAGTAGATGACAGACTAGAATAGGAAGATGGGAAGAAGCAAGAAGAAAAGGATGAGAAAGGAAAGGGAGAAGAAAAACAGGGCAACCAAGTCTGCGAGCCATGTAGCGACAGAAAGGAGCTCCCGACCTTTCCGAAAAATGTTAAGGAGCACGGGCTGCGATCAGATGCCAGGCGGTCGGGCATCGCCAATGGGTTCCAGCCAACGATGAGGACAGTCGGATATTTGGCTCAACGAAAGAAAACAAATCTGAACGACCTAGAGGCCTCGGATGGCCTCGACCTACAACCTGGGAGAGACATCGGCACCTCTTGCTGCATGGCAGAAACACCCTCAAACAAAATTGTTCAACAACACAACATGAAACCGGGACCCTTCAATGTACAGCTGCGACCCTTCAGCGCGGACAGTGGATCATTCGCAGACTGAAGGGCCCCGGCAGTGTGCTGGAAGGGTGCCGACATCTCACAGCACATCTTGCTGGACCCTTCAGTCCACCGCGGGACCCTTCAGTCTTCCGGCCCGACGGTTTGCACGAACCACATGCAAACTGACGCGGAGAATCCTCCTCCCAATACACCCCCAGTTTGCACGAACGTGTAAATTCACAGAACAGGATCCTGCAGATGCGCTTCGCACAGGAGAGTGGAAAGCGTCGCTTCCTTTCCTTTGTCAATACGCCAGCGAGTTTATTGCGGCGGGTTCAAACTCCATCCCGACCAACATCAGCATGTGGAGCTGTACAAGATGTTTTTTGCTGCCCCATAATCCAAAGTTCGAGACAGTCTTGAATTGGTGTGTGAGGGAACGCCCCCGCCAACTTTCCCGAAAGATGTGACAAAAGAAGCTAGATTTCGGCGTTCCTCAAACATTTCATTCGCACGCTGCCGGCTTAGGGACTATAGGGCTAGGGTTCAGCGTTTAGCTTATGCGAACACAGGGCACGGAGTTACTTTCGTGTGTGCCTCGCCTTGGATGCAGGTGAATATTGCGGTTCTCAATGCTGCTGACATTACCTTTCATCAAGCGATGCAAATGTGAAGGACGACGTTTAGCTCCATGATGTTGAGGTCCTAGGAGTTTGCAAGCCCTGATGAACAAGAGAAAATGAAAAATACCCGAAAGCTCATTTTAGGGCAGCGGGAGAAGTGGGTTGTGGCGCACGGAATCAGAATCAGATCCCACAATATCTGCGAAGCTATCGAGAAGCCGGAAGTCGGTCCCGCACGTTTAACCATAGCAACAATCAACATCCAAACAGACTACACGAGATAATATATGAAAACAGCGTTTCTCATGCAAAAGCTCCTGGCTAGTTGCCTCTCTCCCTCTTCGCTTTCGCTTATGGGGCTATGGGGCCAATGCCACTCGTTGACGTCTTGTGTGGTTAGGTCTCTAGAAGACTATGACAGTACGTTCACCTCCGGCACCCCACTCACAGAATGTACCCTCGTCCCCGAATCAAGTGGTTCCAGCAGAGGGGATCGTTGTTCAAAATCACCAGTACTGACTCCTGGCAACAGCGCAAACGAAAATTAAATGGCTGTGAATCAAAACCTCGTTTTGTCGCGGCCTGTTGTTACATACCTTTGTCGCGAATGCTTGGCGCTGGTATGCTCTACAAAAGAACATTGTCGCAAAGGTGCTTGTCACAAGCCGAGGAATTTCTGTTGCAAACCTATGTCGGAATGGCCGCCGAAGCCTGTTACAAACCCTGTGTTTCTGATTCACAGCCACCTATCAAATGATAGAGGAGGTTCCCCTTCTGTGTTCCGCCAGCTGTTGGAATGCCAGGTCATGTTGCCTTGCCATGACTGACGGACTCTCTCCCTCTCTCCGTGTCTCTGTGTCTTTCATGTCAACGTATCATTTCGCAGGAAGGACCTGCGTGAGGACCTCACCAGGATGAACGCAGTTCACCTGTATCCTGGCAGGTCAGACGCTGAAGGCATCTCATTCCTTCCAACTTTTCCACGCGCATGTCGCGGCATCCAAGTCTTCAACTGGTCCGAAACCCGTACAGTACTTAGGCTTTCCAGCTTCATTCGCGTGCCGCCTGCTGCCATGCTGGCGCAATCGCTTTGCCAGCTGCCGGCACATCATGAGGTTGGCCAGCTTGGACCTCAACAGTCACCGGCTACTGCTCTCCTCGTAGACGATGCGAGTACCAACAGATCTGAAAGAGTGCAATCCTTCAGCAGGCTCGCAGCCTACTGAAAAAAAGGCTGAGAACACCACTGACCATAAGCTCGGAAGAGGGAATATGGTTTGGCCTGCTGTGGCTGTGGCGTGGATAATGACCACAGGCTGCTTATGATCTGGCTCCCTGCGGTCCGACACAAAAAAAGAAGAGAGTGTAGATTTGGGACTCTCAGAGCAAGTCATGTTTGGTAAAATTGCATTATATAGCATTTTCAGATCGCGGCCAGGAAGCGCTCCCGCAGTGGGGGCTGAGCTGCGCAGAATAACTGGCATAGGCACTGGCAGCTAAGATTCCACGAGAGCATGAAGCTGGGGCTCTGCAGAGCCTCGCTGAAGTCAAAGACGTCGTGCGCGAAACATATGTTGGAACCTCAACTGAGCGATT